GTGTCCCATCTTTGGTATCAGTGGGAGGAATAGTGCCCCATCATTGGTGTCAGTGGGAGGAATAGTGCCCCATCATTGGTATCAGTGGGAGGAATAGTGTCCCCATCATTGGTGTCAGTGGGAGGAATAGTGTCCCATCTTTGGTATCAGTGGGAGGAATAGTGCCACATCATTGGTGTCAGTGGGAGGAATAGTGCCCCTTCATTGGTATCAGTGGGAGGAATAGTGCCCCATCATTGGTGTCAGTGTGGGAGGAATAGTGCCCCATCATTGACGTCAGTGTGGTGGGGGGGGGAATAGTGCCCCATCATTGGGGTCGGGGGGGGGAATAGTGCCCCATCATTGGTGTCAGTGGGGGGGGGAAAATAGTGTCCCATCGTTGGTGTCGGTGGGGGGAGGAATAGTGCCCCATCCTTGGTGTCAGTGGGGGGAGGAATAGTGCCCCATCCTTGGTCAGTGGGGGGAGGAATAGTGCCCCATCCTTGGTGTAGGGGGGAGGAATAGTGCCCCATCCTTGGTGTCAGTGGGGGGAGGAATAGTGCCCCATCCTTGGTGTCAGTGGGGGGAGGAATAGTGCCCATCCTTGGTGTCAGTGTCAGTTGGTGGGGTGGGGAGGAATAGTGCCTCATCCTTGGTGTCAGTGGGGGGAGGGATAGTATTGTTGGTGTATGTGTGGGAGAAATAGTGCCCCATCATTGGTATTAGTGACACCAATGATGGGGCACTATTCCTCCCACTGACACCAATGATACTTACCTTGCTGACCCCTGCTCCAGCCTGGGCTCGCTCCCTCCCTCTCCCATCTACAGCAGCAACAAAATTTGCATGGTACAAACACTTACCGATCAGCTGTCTTCCTTCTCTGGCCGCTCTCCTCTTCACTCGCCCCGCCAGCTCCCTTACTCAGTCTTCTTTGATCTACGCGCGCTGCCGCTTGGCTCCTCCTCTCCAAGCTCCACCTCCTCGCCGGTGATTGGCCGCCTGTGTGCCTCTCCTGAGCTACAGTTCCGGTGGCCAATCACCGGCGAGGAGGCGGAGCTGTTGAGTGATCCCGGGGGTGTGTCCAGATGACAGGGACGGCATTTCATCCCGCCCACACCTGGAGACGGATAGAGGAGCGGTGTCTCGGTTCCTAAGACCATCGGAAATATGTGTTTTCCGATGGTCTTAGGCGACCCCTGTGAAATGGTCGTTCGACCCCCAAAGGGGTCACGACCCACAGGTTGAGAACCGCTGCTTTAGAGACTATTTCAACACTTTTCAAAATAAGATTTATTACTAAAAAGGTCAAAATATTTACAGAAAAAGATGTTACAAACGATATAAAGAAAACAATAAAACAACAGAGATATAAAAGAAAGGAGTTCAGAAGTCAAAATACTTGCAATGTCCTTAGTTTGTCCAAACAAAAAGGTTGCCTTCACTCTCAAGTTCGTTAGATGTTTCCTGATTGATGTTAAACGAGAGCTCTTCCCTCCAGCCTGTCAGCCCTTTTCTATGATATTAAAGGGGTGTCACATGGGAACAAATGACCAATCATCCAGTTTGGGGATGGGGTCTAAGAGGTAACCAAGGTTATGACTAAGTCGCCTTAAAATTTCATACTAAGGTTAATAACCTCCAATAGGTACAGGTGGCATCATAGCAACTGGTAGATTAATATTCAGAATTATATTTCAAACCCAGGGATACCAAACACAGTGTACTCTTGTCAACCAGGAGGGAAGATACTGCTTTCTCCCCCTTCCTAGGTGCTAATATAGTCATGTAAGACCTTGTTTGACTCACATTAAAGTGATCTATCCAAATATACAGTGAAGGAAATAAGTATTTGATCCCCAGCTGATTTTGAATGTCTGCCCACTCACAAAGAAATTATCAGTCTAAAAATCGAATGGTAGGTGTACTGTAACACTGAGAGACAGAATAGTAACAAATAATTCAAAAGAAATGAATGTCTAACAAATTATGCACTGATTTGCATGTTCCAGGGGATAAATACGTATTTGATCCCCTATCATTCAGCAGGATTTCTGGCTACCAGGTGTCTTTCATACAGGTACCAAGCTGAGATTAGAAGCAGTCTCTTAAAGGGAGTGCTGCTAGTCTAATTTTGTTACCTGTATAACAAACACCTGTCAACAGAAGCAATCAATCAGATTCCAAACTCTCCACCATGGCAAAGACCAAAGAGCTGTCCAAGGATGTCAGGGACAAGATTGACCTACACAAGGCTGGACTGAGCTACAAAACTGTCGCCAAGCAGCTTGGTGAGAAGGTGACAACAGTTGGTGCAATCATTCGCAAATGGAAGAAACACAAAACAACTGTCAGTCTCCCTAGGTCTGGTGCACCATGCAAGATCTCACCTTGTGGAGTGTCAATGATCATGAGAACAGTGAGGAATCATTCCAGAACTACACGTGAGGATCTTGTCAATGATCTCCAGGCAGCTGGGACCACAGTCACCAAGAAAACAATTGGTAACACACTACACCGACAAGGATTAAAATCCTGCAAGGTTCCTCTGCTCAAGAAAGCACATGTCCAGGCCCGTCTGAAGTTTGCCACTGAACATCTGAATGATGCAGAGGAGGACTGGTTGAAAGTGTTGTGGTCAGATGAGACCAAAATCGAGCTCTTTGTCATCAATCAACTCGCCGTGTTTGGAGGAGGAGGAATGCTGCCTATGACCACGAGAACACCATCCCAACTGTCAAACATGGTGGTGGAAACATTCTGCTTTGGGGGTGTTTTTCTGCTAAGGAGACAGGACACCTGCACCGCATCAACGGGACGATGGACGGGGCAATGTACCCTCAAATCTTGGGTGAGACCCTTCTTACCTCAGCCAGGCCATTGAAAATGGGTCATGGATGGGTGTTCCAGCATGACACTGACCCAAAACACACGGCCAAGGCAACAAAGGATTTGCTGAAGAAGAAGCACATTAAGGTCCTGCAGTGGCCTAGCCAGTCTCCAGACCTTAATCCGATTGAAAATCTGTGGAGGGAGCTGAAAGTTTGAGTTGACAAATGTTAGCCACCAAACCTTAATGACTTGGAGACAAATCTACCAAGAGGAGTGGGCCAAAATCCCTCCTGAGATGTGTGCAAACCTGGTGACCAACTACAGGAAACGTCTGACCTTCCAACAAGGGATTTGCCACCAAGTACTAAGTCATGTTTTGTGAAGGGGATCAAATACTTATTTCCCTCATGAACATGCAAATCAGTGCATAATTTGTTAGACATGCAATTCTTTTGGATTTTATGTTGCTATTCTGTCTCTCAGTGTTACAATACACCTACCATTTGATTTTTTAGACTGATCATTTCTTTGTGAGTGGGCAAACATTCAAAATCAGCAGGGGATCAAATACTTATTTCCTTCACTGTATACCAAATATTAATGTGCCCAGTTCCAGCTGAACTTTATGAATTGTTACATGTGGAATGGACATTTTATGGCATGCTCTGTATTCCTAGAGCCCTAATGGCCTAATGACTGACTGAGTTATTGATTTACGATGGGGCAGAGGAAAGTGGTTTTCAAAGCAGACCTCCTGCACCAGACTAATTAGCAGTTTACAGCCCTGGGAGCTTCATCTATCTGTGTTTTATTTAAGATAAGAGGCCCTTTTGACATCAGCTCAACTTACAGCTATAAATTCGATTTAAAGAGGGAGGAGAGACAAAATGGCTGAGGTCTAACAAGATGGCTGTCACATACAGCGTCCATGTCTCTATTGCGCACAATTGTCAGAGTTGCCACCGCATCCCTTTAAACCCGGATAAAGGGAAATGTATGTCTTTTAGGTCTGTCATTTTGTTTTCCCCTAACTCCATTCTATATTTTGTACTAACATGTTGATTAATTGTTTTGTGTTATACCCAGAATGAGTTAATGAAAATATGCTGTGTCAGTTATGTGTTACAGAACTGTACTCCCAATATTCTTCAATTTTTATTTTAGCTTAGCCTTGGTAGAGACGGAGATAGTATCCAATTATTTCTTTGTACTAACAGCACCTGTTTCTGTCATGATTAAAAGTCAAATACTTCTGTTCCATGGGAAAATAATTGTTGGATACTTGTAACTGAAATCAAGGCCTGAGAAAGTCATGATTACAGCCTTGACAAGTATCTAGCGAGATTCTATTGTATATAGTAGATAAGTGTTTTAAAACAATGTAGAAACTTTCTTTATTCCTGGGAAAGTGAAACTCCACTTCTCATCACTTTTTCAGAATTGACGTCAACGTTTGTATTTTTGAATGCAGCCAATCAATTACTGACAACTCAGTTTTTTGATACTCTGTGCCGCCCACCTTTCTTTTTTTCTGTTATATTAATTTTCTTCCCGCTAATAAACTTGAGAGATTGATTTCACCTATCACTGTGTGTATGTCTGTTGTTTCTGATGGTGAAGTTAATCCTCCGGACACGTCCGTCCGTACCTTCAACAGGCTGATAAAGACAGATAGCCAGGGGCTAGCGACAACCTTTCACCGGACACATATGAATTACACAGATTCTGAGGCTAATTTAATGCACATAAAGGCATGGAGTTTAATTAGCACCTTAATCAGCCTCAGAACCTGTGTAATAGGATGAGGCGGCAACCCTACCTAGGGCGCAAAATAGTCTGACACCGGCCTTGCCTTGAGGCCAGTCACTTCAATTGGTATATGGAAGGGTTTACAACTGCTGTGAAAGCACCTTGTATTCTGCAGCTGCAGCACTAAGGTTCCCCATGCAAAAAATCGGCAACGTTTGCAAAGAAGATAACAGTCTGAATTGGAATCCAGAGGACAGAATCTGGACTGTGGAGATGTCTTGGTGGCTGTGCTCCTCCCGGGCAGTAGATGGCGCTGTGACTGACACACAACAGCCGGGCACCCACGTGGAAGAGACAGCCTAGTGGAAGTAGCCGGGTACTGAGGTGTGGAAGGCGGATTGTCGGAGCTGTGTGTGTCACCGGGGTGACCGGCTGTCATCATGTCTAACATCTTGGAGAGCATTCTGAGCAATCTATTACAGCCGGACAATGCCGTCATCCAGCAGGTAGGGGCTGTGCTGACAGGAGGGGATAGCGGTCCGTAGTGCGGTGACAGCTCATTGCAGGGATGTTGTATGTGCTGGAGACGGCGTGTCACTGCTGTACACAGACCTCTGCAGGAGACACGTGAGCTGTTGACGCTGCTCATGTCCTTCTTGTCACTCTTTATACTCATGGGCTAGCCTTGTCACTCAGTGCTGACCATCCAATACAGTCTTCTTCACTTCCTCCATTAACTGTGTAGTCAAAGGACCTGCCTGATCTGATGCTAATTACATTGCTTACGTTTCGTTCTCATACTACATAATTGATGGCAAATCTAATGGTGGTCATACACGCTTCCATAAATGATCAATTTCTTTTCCAATCAGTCTCTCACGATTGATCTATAGTGGACAAACCATCCAGTCGATAGGCCACACACAGAGAAATAATTTCAATCAATAGTTGGGAGATACAATTGTAAATGATGGATCACAGCCCTGTTTCTATCATACGTGGACATATTCTAAATATGATCTGAGCAGGGCTGCTGTTAAAAAACCATGGGGCCCCATACAGCCAACCTGACAGGGCCCCCTAAAAAAACAAAACAGTTTATTATGCTTCAGTTATGAATGAACACAGTGAGTGATCGGTACCGATCCCTCATTGTGTTCATTCAGGAAAGTAAGGGGCTGGTAAATGTGACATAGTTACTGGACCCTTCCCTCAGTCTCCATCCTGAAGGATGTTGCATGATTTTAAAGTTGGGTGACATACCGATTTCAGGTGCGATTTGCAAGACATCCCACACAAATGTCTATGCAAGTCACATCAAAATTAGTGCATGTACTGCTTTAGAAATCAGCGCTGCTCCAACAAAGTCGGAACTGTATTGATATGACCGCTGTAATTGCGGACAATAGGGCGCGACTTGGAATGCCATTTGCAAGTCGTACGGCATGCAAATCGCATGCCAATTCGAATCCAGTGTGACCAGGGACTTAGGATGTAACATGTTACAAGACCTCACCCCACCCGATCCTCCTCCTTTGACAGCGGACAGGGGATCTTCTCACACCCATTGTGACTATTTAAAGCGCAGCTCCACCCAGAAGGTGAAGTTCTTCTTTAAGACTACCCCCCCCTCCTCTTCTTCTCCACATGGCACTTTTTTTTGGGGGGGGGTACCTGATTTTGACAGGTTCCCACTTCCACTCCGACCGCCTATGCAATCGGAAGCAGAAGTTCTGCTCCGCGCCCTGCAGTCTTCTGGGACCCATAACAGTTCCCAGAACACTGCAGGCCATTCACAATGCACAGTGGCCAGCTGTGAAGCCACAAACTGTCACAGCCAGGTGCCCACAGATGAGATGCTGGGGACAGAGGACCGAGTGAAGGGACAGCTGTGATGAGCACATAACTGGATTGTGGGACAGGTGAGTGTGTGTTCATTAAACGTCAGCAGCTACAAAAACTAACTGCTGACTTTTAATAAACACAAAAATGTCTAGAAACCAGGCCTCCACCCCCACATGGCCATGTCATTCAGTCACAGTTATGTGAATGAGTGAACTACAAGTACTGTCAGCCACTGCGGGAGATCACTGCCACTCCGAGGCTGCTCTGTAACAATAAACAATGCATATTATTTTATTTTTTTTAAAAGGTGAACTTATCTTTTAACACATCTCCATGCTGTGCTCTATGTACTCATCTAAATATTCCCATGACTGTGTGTAACCGTCGCCCAGTTCTAGCTTCCCTCATTTAATTTACACCACTCGCTGATTTTATGATAAATGATTTCTCTCTCCTAGGTTCTTTTGATTCGTTTTTGCAATACATTTTGCTTTGCATTTGTACACATACATTGCAGACCTATTTTTACCGTGTTTTGCATTTTTTTCTTTTCTTTTTTTTTTTTGTTTGCTTTTTGTTAAATGGGAAATGCTTTTCTTGTTGGGCAGAATCAAAACACAGCAAAAATGCACTACACGTGTTTCAGCAATGTCTCCATTTTATCTAAAAACTTTGCTTTTTGCATTTAACCACTTCCCGTCCGGCCCATGTACATAAACGGCCAGACAGGAGCAGTACCGAAGCAGGTTGCTGTTTATAAACGCATTCACTGCCTGTGCGCACTCCCTGGGAGTGTGTGTGGAACCGTGATCCGGTGCCCGCTGTGTTTGGAGGGCACAGCGGAACACGATCGCTCTGTGTGAGGTCCCAATTCATGTGATCACTGATTGGGCCAATCAGTGATCACGTGAATAGTAGTAAGCAAGATGTCACTTCCTAACATCATTGCTTACTACGTGTGAAATCTGTGAATGATCAGAGGTCACATGTTACAAGGCTGTTCACAACAGCCTTGTACCATGTGACAAGCTGTGACCAATCACAGCTCACACAGTATTTCTCAGTGGCTGCAAGAATGCAGCCAGAGAGGAGAAATGATTGCTTTTACAGCCTTTATGGGTGTAAAAGCAATCTGTAAAAAAAAAAAAAATCTTCATCACCCCCCACAAGTATTACAGTGTCACTATGGTGACGGTATGTTACAAAAACATAAATAATAATAATATATAAAAATAAAATAACAATGTAAAAAAAAATTTAGATAAATGTATCATTTTTGGTTATAAACTAATTTGGGTCTTTTTTTTTTTTTCTTACTAAAAAGATAGCTGAATACATTTTTTCCAAGATTTATGAAGAAATTTTATTTATTTGCAAAATTTCATAAAAAACACTTTTTTTTTCAAAATGTTTGGCCTTTTTAATTTATATAGCAAAAAAAAATAAAAATCCTAGTGGTGAATAAATACCACCAAAATAAAGTTTTAAAAATAGCTCAGCAATGAGGAAGAGATTAGAGGAACTGAATTTATTCTCTCTTGAGAAGAGGAGATTAAGGGGGGATATGATCAACATGTATAAATACATCAGTGGTTCATATAGTGAACTCGGTGTAGAGCTATTCACCCTGAGGTCATCACAGAGGACAAGGGGGCACTCTTTACGTCTGGAGGAAAAGAAATGTAATCTCCAAACACGGAATAGACTCCCTCAAGAGTTGGTTCTGGCCAGCTCAGTGGATTGCTTTAAGGAAGGCCTGGATTCTTTCTTTGATACACAGAATATAACTGGATACTAACATTTATAATTAAAGTTGATCCAGGGAATATCTGATTGCCTCTCAGGGGATCAGGAAGGAATTTGTTTTCCAGCAAGAGCAAATTGGATCATGCTTTGCTGTTTTTTTTTTGCCTTCCTCTGGATCAACTGTGGGTGTAGGATTATAACTTTTTTTTTTTTTTTTTTTATGGTTGAACTGGATGGACTTTTGTCTTTTTTTCAGCCAGACTAACTATGTAACTATGTAATGTGCAGCGCGGCTCACACATGCGCAATTGGCACCTGGCTGTGAAGCCACAAGTTGGGCATAGTCAGGTGCCCACAGTTGAGATGACAGCACCGGGGACAGAAGACGGAGGGAAGGACATCTCAGGTGTGAACGTTGCTGTATCCTGGCTGGAGCTCTCTTTAAAACCTGTTCCCACCCCCCTTTGTAAACCCTATATGTACTATCCTGTAAAGCAGTGGTACTCAACCTTCCTAATGCCGCGACCCTTTAATACAGTTCCTCATGTTGTGGTGACCCCCAACCATAAAATTATTTATCCAGTAATTATATTTCATGAAGTGTCGTTTTACTTCCAATACTGCTGCTTTCAACACAGTAGCTGCTTTCAACACAGCAGCTGCTCTTTACACATCGGAAATGTGTTTTTCGATGGTCTTAGGCGACCCCTGTGAAAGGGTTGTTCGACCCCCAAAGGGGTCTCGACCCACAGGTTGAGAACCACTGCTGTAAAGGAAAGATGTGTATATTTAACTAATCTAAGGGCGCTCCAGTCTGGTTATGTGATGGACAGCAGACGACGGATGCCCATAGTAAGTCTATGGGTAACATCACCACCCAGGCTCTGCAGCCATTGTTACTGCTGGCTCCTCTTCACTGAAGCCATCCACTGGTGAGATCACATGAGCAGACTGGAGTGCCTTTAGAATAGGAAAATATATCCACAATTCTTCTTCCTCTCATTTTTCAATATAGCATGACATCTCCCTAAGGCTCCATGCACACTAGTGTTTTGTTAAGCTTAAAATGCTGAATAAAAAAACGCTGGTAATAGCGTTTTTTAGAAGCGTTTAGGAGCATTAGTGTTTTTAGCGTTTTTATAAAACATGTTGTGGAAAAAGAAAAAAAAAAGCTTTTTGAAGCATTTATCGTTTTTTTTTTGCTGGAAAAATGCTCCAAAAAACTCTACAAAGACAATTTTTTTTTTTCTGCTCCTAGACGCTGAAGCTCCAAAAATGCTAATAGCCTAAAGTAGTGTCCATGGACATGGGATAACTCTGTTTAGCTTCTAGGAGCAGACAAAAATGCTGGTGTGCATGGAGCCTAAAAGTGAAACTAAAGGCACATTTTTCTTTCATTTTGGTAAGGGGGGATATAACCCCTATCAATTTTTTTCACCAGAATTAGTGTCCTCGCAACAACCCAAAATTTGGTAAAGGGGCACAGACACATTTTGTCCCCTATGTAGTATCAAATTTTAGTGGAAGTATAAAAAAAAAAAAAAAAGTCACAAAATAGTTACAGCCAGGCATTTAATCCCCCCCTTCACCAAAAGACACAATTGTCGGGGGACGCCTATGTGTGAAAACTTTGCTTTTGATACATGTTATATATTGCTGCTGGAGTGAGACATTCTAGGGGCCAAAATTCTTAACTCTAAACTGATGATCTGTTGGGATTTTTAAAGCATTGCCTATGGAAAATATAGGGTACCAAAGTTCGGCAGTATTTTATGGGTGCACGTTAATTTAAAGGTTGACATGTTGCGTATCTGTTTACCTGGTGCAACCTCATCTTTTAAGTTTTACAAAAAAATTGGATAATATATTGTATTTTTTACCCAAAAATGAACTTAAATGTAAATGTACATGCTGCACAATAGGATAAGTTCACCTTTTGACAAAAAATAATAAATGCAATTTTTTTGCAGGTAAAAAAATGTGCATTTATTATTTTTTGTTGCAGGAGCCTGAAAAGCATTGCACTGAAGTTCAGCAGATCGCTGGAGTCATGCAGGACTCCTGCAGACCTGCCAGTATATCTGTTTGCCCGTACGACCCATATGAGCAAGCCGATACACTCGAACAGGAAAAATCAATGAACTACCACGGCGCAGTGGTAGGTCATTGAGAACTAGAAGCGTTAGCCACTAAGGCTGTCTGGACTTGTAGTTTTCTCATTCACAGAATACTGTGAATGAGTGAAGCGACCGGATGGGTGGAGCCCTGCAAAGCTGTGTTTTTTTTTTTTTTTGTAAGTTTTGACAGCTAGAAAGAGAAGAAGATGCTCCACTAGCTGTCAAAGCGGGGGGCTGGTCCTTTCATAACATGTTACACCTTGAATATGGGTGTAACATGTTATGAAAGGTCAACTTATCCAAAACTTTGGCATTATTGGCACTTTTTTTTTCTATCGGCAAAATGCTGATAACCGTATTTTCATCCGATCATTTTTGGCGGACGATATATGAGTGCATCATTAGCCTTTAACCCTTCCCTTCTCTATCAAAAACTATTTAACAAATAGTTTTGGTGGTACATACACTTCAATATATATGAAGGTGGGTTAGCATTAAAGTTGGACAAATAATTTTCTGCTTTTACTTCTCTTATGGGTAAATCGGTTTATAGGAACTGACGTCTCTTCTACTGATAATGGGAGAAAAATGTGTGAACAGTAACCACCCAGAGAAAAGGTGCTACTTCTTCTCTGCCACTTACATGCATCTGACTTTCTCTGCACCATCATTTTTGCTGTTTTACAGCAGACAAGATCTACTAAGGTTGGTACATTGTCACGTGCATCATATACTGTATATTGCCTGATGAGCCAGTACTCCATATTTGTGCTGGAGAGCTGACAAAGCTGAGGCCTGTGACCCAACAACCATTTAAACTTCGGGTGCTGCTCCAAGCAATCACTCTATGATGATGTTCTGGCGACACTTGCATTAAGTATAGGTGCTGGTGTTGAGTGAGCCTGCCCCGGCTCCATATACACATATAAAGGATCAAGGATGGATCATTGCCCTGCCAAGAGAACAGCCCAAGGAACGTGAAAGCCACTTAAGCGCACCTCCTGCCGGAGCACGCCACTGCTGGGTTTAGTCATAAATTAAAGCCCTGATGTCTTTTTTAACTGAGGGCTGAAGGAAGTACAGATGGATGTTTCTTACAACATATATGTGGGGGAAAAATGGAATTGATTTTTCTATAATACTGTAACCACATGTGGTCGGTAAATTGGGTTTTGTGAATGCTACAGAGGTTAGTTGTATCTTGTCTCTCTAAGAATTAATCATTCATCATTTCGCTAAATTGTGCAATTGGCATAAGAATTGTTCTTCATCATTTTACTTGTATCTTCACATTTCTTTTTAGGCTACAGCACAGCTGAAAGAAGCTGTCAAGGACCCATTGATTATACCAGCATTATGTGATGTCATACGAGGAGCTCAGGACCCACAGGTATTTACACTCACATTCCTTAAACTTATTTTGTAAATGACTTCATGCAGTCTTTTAAAGGTTAAGTTCACCTTTTGGAAAGAAAAAAAAAAAAATTCACTTACAGGAAACTGCTATTTTCAAATTATGACAGCAGGAGCGGGTAGTAGAGCCCCTGCCCGCTGTCACAGGGAGGGGTGGTCGGGGACTGTAGATGCTGGAACATGTTACATATGCCACCTAAAAACGGGTGGAACATGTTCCAAAGGTGAACTTATCCTTTAAAGATCAATTTTATATATTGTTACGTTTATCCAGCTTGGATCAATGTGTGTGTGTGTGTGTGTATGTATATATGTGTGTGTGTGTGTGTGTGTGTGTGTGTATATGTATATATATATATATATATATCATACTAATTGATGGCCGTGGAAGCTGGGAATCACTACTCCAGTGATCTCCTCTTGATTCCAGGTGTCGTGCTGAGTGGCCAGCCTGATGCATTGTGAATACAGAAGGTTGGCCGCTTGGCATTCAGTTAATTATTAGCATTTTCTGAAGTTAAAGAACTTTCTCTGACTGAACAAGATAGAGTGACGCAGCGGTGCTATCGCGCTCTCTATCAATCGGAGAATGTTTTTCAATGTTACTAGGTATAAAATATCTGTACTTGGAATTCCTCTTTAAAGGTTACTTGCAGATTGCGTAACGGTTCTGGGGGGGAATGATTGAGGTTATTCTTAGGGTATTTAGGTTAGGACTGTGATGCCCTAAATATACCTAATGCAGTATGTTACTACATGTAAAGCTATAACCTTTTTGTTATGTGCCAAGAGTCCTCATATTGAAATGTTGACTTCTCCAGATTTAGAGAATGGGGTAAGCTCATTTTATGCAAAGTAATCAAACTAATGTTCTGAGTTGTTACAGGGGATCATTGAATTGCAGCTTGTGCTTTATAATTACTGTTCCTGCTGCTTTTCTGCCTTTTTTAGATGCGGCTATATGTAGACATCTGTTTATAGTGGCTTTTCCTTTCCGAATTTAAACGTATGTATAACTGCAGAAACCGTGGGGAGTTGATTGCTTTAAAGACACTTGTGCTTGAAGAAATCTGTGGGCTGCTTTTTTTTTTTTAAACAACCTGGCTGTGGCGTCAGTCATAAAGCGGTTCTTCACTCTGTTTGAAAAAAAAAATAAAAGTCAACAGCCACAAATACTCTAGCTGCTGACTTTTAAAAGAAGGACACTTACCTGTCCTGGGATCCAGCGCCATCCTCAACTGGGCTGATCCTTTGCCAGTCTTCGGGTCCCTGACACCAGCATGTGTAGTGCGGCTTCACAGCTGGCTTCCCACTGTGCAGTGTAAATGGTTCCACAGCCTTCTGAGAGATGTGACATTTCCCAGAAGGCTGCAGATTGGGGGGAATTGGGAGGTGCGGGCACTGAACTGCCATGAGAATGGCCTTCTAGACTATCTGACTGGAAGTGAGAGCGGGTTAACTACCAAAACTAGGTACACCCCCCCCCCCCCCCCCCCACCTCCTCAAAAAAAAGTTCCAAAAGAAAAAGGGGGGGGACATAAAATGAAAATTTCCCCTTTAGGGTGAAGTTCTGTTTTAAGTCACTAATCCAGCACAGGCATATAGCAAGTGAAGTTCGGTACAAGTGACTGAAGGATAAGGTGCAGTATGACAGACAAGAGGCTAGCACTGAAAATCATTTCCATATATTTTACACTCTAAGGTTTCTTTTAAGGCTGTCTTGGAGTTTTAACCCCCTAAATGTCCAGAAAATGTGTACTTCGCATTGAAAACAATTTTCCTGTAGTTACACAGGCTGGCTTTCCCAGTCTTTGTAACCAAAATTAGAACAAGTAGAAAAGTTTAATAAAAGACATCCAGTCCACCACTACATGTACATGTAGCTGACTCATTAACTCGTAAGCCTGGTTAATCCAAATATGCTGATGCATGAAAATCCTAGATAAATTCACTTTGTAAATAAGAGCCTCAAAAGCAGCAACAATTACAGTTTGAGTTCACAAGACAGTACATATACTGCATATATTGTAAATGAAATGTGTATTTTCATATTTCATTTTATAATGTTCAATTACCTAAAATAAAAATTGTAAGTGAATATTTGTCTTTTTGGCTAAAAAATGTTGTTTTCTAATAGAGAACACATACTTCTCTATAAATAATGTGCCATAGAAGCACATTGTAATATACTGTATACGTGTGTATATTCAGCGGGTATAGAAAAGAAAATAATTTTGTTACTTTGCAGCCTGAGATGAAGACAGACGCAGTTTTTGTTTTATCCAGCTGTATTTACTCAGTGCAGCTTATAACGTCCAAGTGAAAGAACACTAACCTGTCAGACACAAATCAAACACAGAATCCCTGTGTTGGAAAAAGGATCACCCCCCCCCCCCCCCCCCCCCGTGTCAGTATTTGTTTGAACCATATTTTGCTTTAATTTACAGCCTTTAGTCAGTTTGGATATGTCTCTACTAACTTTGCAATGTTTGCCCACTCTTCTTTGCAGAACTACTCAAGTTCAGGTAAATTTGATGGTGACCATTTCTGGACTGCAGTCTTCAAGCCATTCCACAGATTTTCAATGGGGTTTAGGTCTGGGCTCTGACTAGGCCATGCAAGGACATTCGCCTTATTCTCCTTCAACCACTGTGTGGTCATTTTTGTTGTGTGCTTTGGGTCATTGTCATGTTAGAAGGTAATCCTTCTTCCCATTGATAGTTTTCTGGCAGAGGGCAGCAAATTTTAGAAAGTTTTTTACCCCTTCCATTTTTCTTCTATTCCTGACAAGTGCTCCAATCCCTGCTGCATAGAAACACCCCCATAACAGGATATTGTCACCTCCATTCTTTACTGTGGGAATGTTATTTGGATGGTGAGCTGTATTGGATTTCCACCAGACATATCGTGTAATGTTATGGTCAGATGAGACTAAAATTAAATTATTTGGCCCCAACACCTTTTTCCATGTGGCCTCAGAATCTTCAAAGTGCGTTTTTTTGGCAAAGCTCAGTCATGACTGCATGTGGCGTTTCTTGAGCAGTGGCTTTTTTCTTGCAACCCTCCCATACAAGCCACACTTGTGGAGAATTTGTGATATTGTTGTCACATGCACACAATGACCACTCTGCCATAAATCCTGCAACTGCTTCAGAGTTGCTGTAGGCCTCTTGGTAGCCTCTCTGACCAGTTTGCTTCTGGTTCTTTCATCCAGTTTGGAGCGAAGTCCTGATCCAGGGAGGCTCTGTGTTGTACCAAATACCTTCCACTTTTTTAATAATAGACTTCACTCTGCTTCTAGGTATTGATAAACCCTTTGAAAATTGTTTTTGTACAGTATCTCTCCTGAGTTGTGCATGTTTCACAACTGTATCCTGGAGATATTTTGACAGTGCCTTGCCACTCATAGTGGATTGTTTACTTCACTTGCACTACCAGAGAATGAAATTCTCCAGGAAAGCTCTTTTCATGCTGAGCTAATCAAAATGACCACAGCTGATCACAGTTGAAAGTCAACTAGCTTTGTGTGCCATTGAGAAGGTGATTAGCTACACCTGAGTGAGTTTACAAGTCAGGAGGGGGGTGATCCGTTTTTCCACTCTGTTTTTGAATTTTTAATTTTTTTTTTTTCCTGACATGTTGGTGATATATATTTCACTTGGCTGTTATAAGTTACACTTATAAAATACAGCTGGATAAAACAGTGTCTGTCTTTATTTCAGGCTGCAAAGCAACAAAATGTGATTATTTTAAAGGGGGTTACTCTTTTTTTTATATATATTTATATATATATATAGATCATAGATATAGATTCTGTCTGCTCCAGTTTTAGTAAATCATCCATTGTCCTTTCACTACTATACACACAGAAACCTTCTTATAAACATGACTAGAAAATGTCATTTGTCATAACTTTGCTTGTATTTCTTCTAGATACGCCAGTTTGCTGCAGTTTTATTACGCAGACGACTAAGTAAACGGTGGAAGGTTATGCCTGTAGAGCAGCAACAGAGGTCAGTAAGAAATAGTAAGCCTTTTCTTTGTATTCATCCTGCCTGTTGCCTCTGTTACGTCACTTTTATACAACCCCAATTCCAAAAAAGTTGTCTAAAATCTACATAAAAACAGAATACAATGATTTGCTAATCTCATAAACCCAGTATTTTATTCACAATGGAAAATAGAAAACATCAAATGTTTAACCTGAGAAAATGTACCATTTTTAGAAAAAAAAAAAGATAATTTTGAAATTGATGACAACATGTCTCAAAGTTAGGACAGAGCCATGTTTACCATGGTGTAGCATCCCCTCTTCTTTTATCCCCTTCTTCTGCCACCACCTGACCCTTTAAGATGATCTAAATGCCGGAAGGCAGAGTCAGGCATTCTGATCATGTGACCACTGTGATTGACAGCCACAGTGGACACATGATCAGATGGCTCCTAGTGTGTATCGGGAGCTTTCTGGTACCCTGTCATTACTATGCTGGGAGTACTTTTTCAACATGGTAAAATGTTTTCCTAGGGAAGCATATATGCGACCACTCGGCGTTACAGCCCGCCCGCTGAAAGGCCTAATAAATGCGCCAGGTCAGCAGGAAGTGGTTAACACTGTAATCATCTGGGAACCGAGAAGACCAGTTGCTGGAGTTTTGGGAGAGGATTGTTGTCCCATTCGTGCCTGATATAGGATTATAACTGCCCAACAGTCCTGGATTGTTTTTATTGTATGTTTCGTTTCAATTTGTGCCAAATATTTTCAGCTGAGTTAAAGGTCTGGACTGCAGGCAGGCCAGTTAAGCACCTGGAATCTTCTGTTGTCATAGATTCATTATGCAGTTTCATTTTGTTCTGCTGAAATATACATGTCCTTTTCTGAAAAAGATGCTGTCTGTATGGGAGCATATGCTGCTCTAAAGCCTAAATATATGTGTCTGCATTGCTGGTGCCTTTCCAGATGTGCAAGCTGCCTATTCCACCAGTACTAATGCACCCCCATACCATCAGAGATGCCGACATTTGTACTCTCCGTTAATAACAATACAGAAGGTCCCTCTCCTCTTAGTCCAGAGGATGTGGTGCCCTTGGTTGCCAAATTGAATGTCAAGTTTCAGTTTGTCTGATCACAGGACAGTTTTTTTTTCTCTTTGCAACAGACCATTTTAAATGAGCTTTGGCATAGAGAAGACAGCAAATTTTTAGATCATGTTCAGGTATGGCTTCTTCTTTGTATAATAGAGCTTTACCTTGCAATTTGGATGGCACGGCACACTGTGTTCACATACAGAGATGTTTGAAAGCATTCCTGAGCCCATGCATTGATGTTTCTAATGCATTGCCATCTGAGGGCCAGAAAATCACAGGTATCCAATACTGCATTTCGGCCTAGTACCTTGCACACAGAGATTTCTCCAGATTATCCAAATTTTATGATATCATGTACTGTAGATTATGATATATTTAAAGTCTGCAACTTTACATGGAGGAACATTAGTTTGAAAGTGTTCGACAATTTTTAAATGCAAATTTTACAGATTAGTAAACCTCTACCCATTTTTACTTCTGGGACCCCCGTCATGTTACTGACCTGTTGCCAGTTAACCTAATAGTAGCAAAATGTTCTTCCATCTCTTCCCTGTTAGCATCACTTACATTGCCAGCTTTTTGTTGCCCTGTCACAAGTTTTTTGAGAATTGTTGCTGACATTAGTTTCAAAATGACCTTACTTTTTTTTTTAAAATGGTACGCTTTTTCAAGTTAACCACTTCCAGTCTGGTCTAATTCCAACATTCCACTCCACGTAAAAACATTATATATATATATATATATATATATATATATATATATATATATATATATATATATATATATATATATATATATATATATATTTTTTTTTTTTTTTTTTTTTTATAATTATTAGACCCTAGAGAATAAAAAACGGTGGGTGTTGCATATTTTTATGTCTCATGGTATTTGCACAGCAGTTTTTTTTTTCAGTGCTAATTTTTTGGAAAAAATACCCTTTAACGAATTTTAATGTGCAAAAACACAATATAATACTGAATTGTTTGGTAAAATATAAAAGATGTCACACCAAGTAAATGGATACCAAACATGGAACCGTGCCAAATGTCTGTAACTAAAAAATCTCCATAGGCGATGCTTTAAAAGCCTTTACAGGTTACCAGTTTTGAGTTACACAGGAGGTCTGGTGCTGGAGTTATTGCTCTCATTCTGACGTTCAAAGCAATACCTCACATATGTGGGGTAATTGCTGCATACATATGCGTGCATTTGCTTGTGAGGATGCAGGAATAGGGGCACTTTAAATATTTAAAAAATTGTATCTTTATTTTATTTGCATTTTTTTTAATACTGTTACCTTTTTGCAGCACTTTTATTGCTATCAGAAGGGATGAACACCATTCCTTGTGATGTCATGAGCCGTTACAGGTCCTCTTCTGGCCTTCAAAGCATCTGATCAACTAAGATCAATTTGACCAGACGCTTGTGCTTGTTTGCATGAAATGGAAACCGGAAGTGACAAATTCCTCAAGGCTTCCAGTTTCTGACATCACACAGTGGGAGCAATGACATCCCTTCCTCTCACTGTGTTTCAGGAACCACATGCTGCTGGTCACATTCTTTCCGGGCTCCCCGATTGCTCAGTAGATGCCAATAGAGGGGGCAGTGGCGGGAGGGGGGACCCCCTTCCACCACCTGTAAAAGTAATCCAGTGGCTCTTTAGCCACTCAGATTACTTTTACTTTGTTCAGCATTACCAGCTCTAAAAAAAATTATATCTCGTTCGGCAGCGATGATATCACCATTCCCATCCAAGGGCTATGTACCTTTTTTAAAGTACAATTTAAGACTCTTGTATGGCCCTTTAAACAAGTACCGCATTAAGTTACTATGTGATGCACAAGCCTCAAATCATAAACAAAATCTTCTTAACTTTTCCTAGCTGAGCCAACTCCTCCTTCATTTGTGTCTCACACGCTTTCACTCCCAAACACTGCAGATCACAGGAGGGTTGCTGCATCAGAGCCAGAGCTGTCTGGCCAGAGGGCAGTGGGCAGGTCTAGGTGGTCAGGTACTGATTGGCAATCAACAGTGACAGTTCTGATAGTCCCCCTGCAACATTTTTTACTGTAGTACAAGCAGGCACAGCCTACATGAAAGTGACAACACTGCTTTGAATTCAAGAGCAGTACAGCATCTTGTCCACACAATTGTAAGCTATAGTAACTGATATTTGTCCAACTTTGATTTAATGAAAAACCTTACAGCTAAAAGTACCATTATTTTTTTTGTATTATTCTTGTTCTGCTAAAATCTCATCTCTCTTTTTTTATTTTTTCTTAGTGTGAAGCCCCTGCTGTTAGAAGCCATTCAAAGAGAACCCGAGTAAGTGAAATTCAGATCACACTAGTTTGTGTCATATATTACAGTTGTGACCAAAATTATTCAACCCCCACTGAAATTGAGTGTTTTGGCCAGTTTGACATTGCTTTTGATCATTCAGTCATCTTGCTTACATTTACATTAAAGAGGCACTTGTAGGTCAGACAAATATAACATAACAGTTATAATGAAATAACCACAAATGTCTTTTCTGTGCTCACAGCATTATCAGTTTTATTCAACCCCCAAGTGACATTCAATCTTAGTACTTAGTACAGCATCCTTTTACACTTTTAACAGCTTTTTAAACGTGAAGCATAGCTTGACACAAGTGTCTTGCAGCGATCTACGGGTATCTTCGCCCATTCTTCATGGGCAAAGGCCTCCAGTTCAGTCACATCTTAGGCTTGCGCACTGCAACTGCTTTCTTTAAGTCCCACCAGAGGTTCTCAATCGGATTTAAGTCTGGTGACTGCGATGGCCACTCCAAAATGTTCCAGCCTTTCCTCTGCAACCATGCTCTAGTGGACTTGGAGGTATGTTGGGATCATTGTCCTGTTGAAAGGTCCAACGTCTCCCAAGCCTCAGGTGTGTGACGGACTGCATCACGTTTCCATCCAATATCTCCTGGTACTGAAGAGAATTCATGGTACCTTGCACACGCTGAAGCTTCCCTGTACCTGCAGAAGCAAAACAGCCCCAAAGCATGATTGACCCTCCACCATGCTTCACAGTAGGCAAGGTGTTCTTTTCATCATAGGCCTTGTTCTTCAGCGTACTGATCCATGGCCCAATTCATCAGTCCACAGAACACTATCCCACATTTTGTGGTTTGTCCACATGGCTTTTGCATACTGCAGTCGACTCTTCTTATTCTTTGGAGACAGCAAGGGGGTACGCCTGGGAGTTCTGGCACGGAGGCCTATTACGCAGTGTGCGTCTTATTGTCTGGGCTGAAACTTCTGTACCCACATCTGACAAATCTTTTTCTCAGTTCCTCAGCAGTCACACAGGGGACTTCTCTCCACTCTACGCTTCAGGTAGCGCACAGCAGTCGAAGTCAGCATCTTTTTCTGCCACGACCAGGTACGTTTCAATGCCCTTTGCCTTGAATTTGCGAATGATGCTTCCTAGGTGTCTCTTGGTATGTTTAACATTTTTGTAATCTTCTTACCATTGCCCTTCCTGTGATTTTCTTTGTCTTCCTGCCATTATCTTGCTTCTTTTGTAACTAAATGTCTAAAAGCTGAGTCTCATCATCTCTTTTTTATTATGCTTGATTGCTGCTCGGTGACATTTTTTCAATAGTGTGAAGCCCTGTATGAACTGCTGTTAGAAGGGGTTGAATAATTGTGGCAATGAAGAAACCACATAAGAACCATTTACTACTGTATTACATAAACAATTGATGTCATTTTAGTTGCATTTGGGTAGTTACACACGTAGGATTTGATTCTGAATACAATTCCAAATGTACACTATAGTCCCTAAACCCCTTTACAGCATTGTTGAATAATTTTGTCACAACTGTAGTAATGGCAGTACAACTGTTGTGTTTTTCATTGTGCTAATAAATAAGGTTCTTTCAGTATGGGTGCAAGAAGTTCATCTTTGTGACCATGTTTCATGTTGCACCCATATTAAAGTAGAACTATAGGCAAAACGTTTTTTTTTCCTTCATTTAGGATAGAGTAAGGGAGGGTTCTAACCCCCTGCAAATTAATTGAATCTCTTGGGGCTCCCCAGGTCACCAGAACTAGTGTACCCATTGGAAGATATTCCCCCCATTTGCTGTTTTGAGGACAAGCTAAAATTTGTGTTTTTTATTTATTTTTTTTAACTTTCACTTTTGATGATAATTGGGGCACAGGCACCTGAGAGGGGTTCTACTCCATCTCCACTCTATCCAAAACTGAAAAAAGGTTTTACCCTTAGTTCTACTTTAAGGGGGTAACATGCAACATTGTCAAATTCCTCAACCCCCCACCTTCAAACCACCCCCTTCACGCTGAATTGCTGGATGCTTTCCCTGCAGCTTTCGGTGTGTATTTAAATTCAGCAGCACTTGTAGTCAATTGATTACTTCCTTCAACCCCATAACAGTAGAACAGTAGATCTGTACCCAGTGGTGTATTTAGGTTTTTTGCTGCCCTAGGCAACACAAAAATCATCTATCCCCACGGACACCGACCGGCACCCCCCCCCCCCCCCCCCCTTCACCCTCCCATGGAGAGAGCCTGACATTGACCAACAACACCCCTGCCTCCCACCCAGGAGAGCCATCCACTACCCCCCTTACCTGGTACAGACACAATCATCTTCACAGCTCTGGACATCTCCGTGTAGGAGAGCCAGGCTTTACAGACACCATCAAGCAGCCCACAGCCTCTCTCGGATCCCACCTGGTTCCCATGGTGCGCGTGTCCCTTCTTTCATCCCTTCTTCCGAGGAGAGGTGCTGTCCACCTGAAAAATGCTGCCTTAGGCAAGTGCCTTATTTGCCTTGTGGTAAATATGCCCGTCTGTACCTCCATATAGATCTGGGGCTAGGATGTAAACACAAGCAAATGCCTGTGCATGGCTCCTGTGATGCCCTGGTTTTGACTGCAGTGCTCTGCAGACTTTAGTGAAATTATTTTTAAATGCACCCTTCTTTCTGTTGTTAATATCAATGCATTTATTAAATTCTGGTGGGCTATGCCTTTAAAGGATACATGTCAGCCTTTATAAGCACATAAACTAATATTACTAGTAAAGTATCCTACGCTGCGATATGCTGATGTCTTTGTGGCTGGTGGTGTGACCCTTGATCTAGGGTCCAAGTTGTAGAAGCATAAAAGTGGCCACCCGCCCAAGTCTATAACTGGCTTATGAAGCAAGGACACATAAACAGGCATCTCATAGTGAAAAAAAGGGGGAGAACAATGTTCTTGGACAACTTGCCAGCCAGCTTGCTAACAACCGAATTAACCTGTCTAACAGTATGCGTTTATAACAGGGGTTTAGTTAGCACACATTTGCAAATACATACGTAAGCCACAGAGCCACGACACGGCACCCTGATCATCTGTGGTCCTAACTCCAAAATTTGTGAGTCCCCATAGTAGAGGCACATGCATTCAATGGATAGATCAAGGGCAGGTGGACCTGAGGGAGCCACCCCTCTTAAAGGCAAAGGAGTGCACTGGACCCCAGCATGTAGCACAATGGCAACCAGGGCCCTAGTGCACCCACGTACCAAAAAAACTCAAACATGCATAAAAGTGGCCACCCGCCCAAGTCTATAACTGGCTTATGAAGCAAGGACACATAAACAGGCATCACATAGTGAAAAAAAGGGGGAGAGAACAATGTTCTTGGACAACTTGCCAGCCAGCTTGCTAACAACCGAATTAACCTGTCTAACAGTATGCGTTTTATAACAGGGGTTTAGTTAGCACACATTTGCAAATACATACGTAAGCCACAGAGCCACGACACGGCACCCTGATCATCTGTGGTCCTAACTCCAAAATTTGTGAGTCCCCATAGTAGAGGCACATGCATTCAATGGATAGATCAAGGGCAAAAGGCTTTTTTATATCTTTTTTATACTGGCTGCTAAATGCATGTGTTGTGCATTCAGTATGATCTGCTTTGCTTGTTTGGAGAATGCAGCCTATCTGGCCCAGTACTGGGAGCTGCTTTTTTTGCATAGGTAGCTGGGTGCCTTTAAATTTGTCCTTTTCCCACCAGGTGCTGGGTGAAGTGTTGTGCACACATGCGTCCTGCTCACCTTTCCCGCTATATAGCATTGAGAAAACTCCCTGCTGCTATTCCTGCTCGTAAAGCAGCCACCTGAAACTCTGATTCCCAGTTCATTCCTTCTGTCCACCTACAATGACCTTGGTTACCTCCAGCCATCCGACCCTTACCAGCTACAGTATCTGGGTTGCATGAGTACTTGAGTCTTTACTTTGTAAACTAATCCTAAATTGCCTCACCTCTATGTGGTTGCTTCATGTCTTTTTCTAGACACAGAGGGGGACAGTCCTGCTACAACAGGTGTCCCCATCTCACATTCCACTAACAGTTCTTGAAAAGTTTGTTCCCCACCTTATAAGAGTGCTGACATCTGCAACCTTTATCTTCTCATAAACAAACTTGTATTCAGAGTCTTCCCAATCTCTGGCAGTTGAGGCTGAGCCCCTGCCTTGTTACCCTGGGTCTCTACCACAGTTGTGCAAGACCTTGAGTCCCAATTCACCCAGTTCATGGCTGACTTTGGCTACCTTCGCAGCTTCTGAGGCAATGGTTGCAGTAACTATATGATTCTATGTCACTTCAATCTCTACTTGAAGAGATTATCCTTGAGCAGTCTTAGTCTTCTGTCATTACCACGGAATTGAAAGAGACTGGCTTTTCATGTGGTGCAAATTACTTTGAAACTGAAGGACCAACCTGAAACCTCCAGTCTCTGGTTTTTCAGATATCCTGCAGCTGCAAAGGCCTTCCCATTGCACCTACTGTTTGGGATCTTCCTCGGTGTTAATTTGAGACATCCCGACATGCCCTCGACACTCACCAAATGCTTGCTATACTTGTTTCTATTTCTAAAATGTTTAATCAAACTGAATTTCTGCCCTCACAGTGAATCCATCAGTGGCCCACCTTAACAAGGAACCCTCTAGGGTAGTTGATGGTGTCCCAGCATTCATGGATTCTACCAATGAGCATCTGGGAACCCTCTTAAAAACTCAGCACTCCCTGATGGGCCTTGCCCTTCTCACTACTATGGCTGTGATTTTAGTTTGTGACACAATGGCAAAATGATTACAGATCCTTTAAAAGTTTTTCCTCAACTAAAGCAGTGGATCCTTCACTGATAGAGCATGTAAAGTAGATGGCTGGAGCTTTATACTGCTGAGACAGCCTGCTGGAAGCATCTCTATTGGTCTTTTGTCAATACACACGAGCAGAGCACTATGGTTAAAATGCTCTTATACAGACCCTGATTCCAAGGAGCACCTGAGCTGCATGGTCTTCGAGAGAGTGTCTCTTCAGTCCGACCCTTGATGTTATTATTTAAGGATGTTACTGGATAAGGCAGAGAGTTTGATATTTCAAGGGGTACAAACTAATCCTCCTTTCAGCTTCTCCCCTCCAACCCTACTCTGTCACCGCACAGATTCAGAGACCTGCCTCCCCTCTGCCCTTCTGTCTGTCCTGGATCAAGTTCATCGGCCCAGATCTTGTGTCAGATCAGTGACATGGGTTTCACTCTAACTTTGTCACCATTCTCTTCCCAAGGAGAACATCTGCCTTCTCTGACCTTTCAGTCTTGTTCCAGCACCCTGATTGATCTCCAGGGTACTGGCCCCAGTGTTGGTTAGTATGTTTCTACATCCCCTTGGCAGGTCACATGTTCTGGATACAGTTGAACAATGCCACAAGTGCATCAAGTGTACATCAGGATAGAACAATAGATCTTGCTGCAATGAGAGGTAATCCTGAGCCAGGTTGAACTTTGTGTTCTAGTTCTTTTCACAGGGTTCATCTTGAATGCGGACAGTTGGTGGAAAGGCTTTCCCAGCTGGTTACATCTGCACATGCGAAGCAATTCATACACCCAAGTGAATTTCATGACCTGCGTTACAGGGGAAGGATGCTGGATATGGACCCTCCTAATATCCTGGTTCAACTGCATGCTGAAGAGGCTCCTCTCCAGGTGCAGTAGTGGTAGTAGTGAATGCTCTTGTGCTTCTGTGGCATCTATACTCCTACATCTAGTCCTTTCTTCCTTTAATGCTTTTCTCTTCTGCTTTGCATTCTCAAGATAAAGGGCTTTCCGGCAATCTTACTTGCACTGGATTGACACTGGTCAATGTAGTTCGCTGACCTGTAAAGGCTCCTGACTGTTGCTGCATGGGCTCTAACATGTTGCATTTCGGGAGCAGAGAACATCTCTAAATCTAACTCTTACGATGCTTAAGGATAGGAAGTATATTTCAGCAAGGTTTATTAATATGAGCTTTGCTCTATGGTGTAGTCATCTTTTTGCAGATTGGTTGTACTAAGACTTGGCTTTCAGCACCATCAGGTCTGGATTATTCCTTGCAAATTCTAGTTAAGGCTAAGCTTCTTTCCCTTGCCTAAGTGCTTCCTTGGTAAGTGCCCATATACTTTACCACATTTGTGTCTTTTGACTCCATAGGATTAAACTTTGGTTTTTGTCACGTTTTTAGGGACCACTGTTTTGACTCCTTGGAGGTAGTTCTACTTTAATTCAACCTCAGGGGGTTCTTTACTGATTGTTATTGCTTCTGCTATGGGAATGTCTGACCTGACAGCGTTGCCAGTGATACCAGTAATGGAATCAGGTGAGTTGAGGCTTACAACCTTCTTCGGACTATTATGATCTCTGCAGTTTCTGATCTTTTACTCCACTGGGGCATCAATCTCTGGTCCCTCTGTATGACTCCAGTTCTTCGAGAGGAGCCTCTTTCCTGTTTGACCACAGTTCAGGCTATGAGTTTTCTGTCTCTCAGCTACTGTCTCCCTTTTGATCATACCAAAAGGTCCCCGTGGAGTGATTTTTTTTTTCCTACCATTCTGATGATTCAGATAGACCATCTTTCAATCTTTTGGTCTTAGAAGTTGGTTTTCTCCCTTCCCTGTCAAGACATGCTTCATGGACTATGTGAGTGTTGATTGAGTTTACCAGAATCATACATCAATTTCCCAAAGCCAGGCTATCACTTGGTCTTCTGTTCTTACTTTATTTGCTACCAGGTGGAGGTTGCAGCCTCATCTGATGCCATTTTTGAGCATAGTCTTCAGGCTTACAGTGAGTACATATATGCTCTTTCCTTAAGGTGGTTGTGAAGGCTGAAGGGTTTTTTTTTTTTTTTTACCTTTATGCATTCTATGTATGATGGTATAAAACTTTTGTGTGACGCTCACCGACCCTCCAACCCCATCCTCCGCCTGCCCAATACCTACCTGAGCAGATCCCAATCCATGTGCATGAGAACAGCGGCTCTTCCAGCTCTCTTGGCTCAGAGACGACAGCAGGAGCCAGTGAGGAGGGGGTGGGGCTCAGTAGCAAGCATGCACAAGTGCTGCCATAGAAAGTGGTTTACTATGGGGGAACTCAGCAGGGGGGAGGAGCCAAGAGCGCCACTGGGGAACCCGGGAAGAGGAGGTTTTGGGCTGTTCTGTGCAAAACCTTTGCACAGAGCAGGGAAGTATGACATATCGTTAATATCACTTTAACCATGCCCCTCAGCTTGGGGTATTGGCCTTGGCAGGCTGTAAAATGCATGTGCTTGAAATGTTGTATTTTTGATCTGATTGTTTGTTTTTTTTAATTGGTTGTGGTCTCAGGCACAAGGTCCGCCATGCTCTTGCACAGCTGTGTGCAGTGGTCCTTAGGAATGAAAAGTTGGAGCTCTGGCCAGAATTCATCCAGTTTGTGCTACAGGCATCTCACAGTAACATCCCAGAGCAGAGACAGGTTTGTTTTTCTCAGTGATTCTTGTATACCATTATTTTGCCTCCAAATATGTCTCTTAATCGGTATGTGGGAGTCCATTGGGGGTCACAAAAGAACTTTTTATACCAATGAACATTTCCTCAAAAACAGTGTCCCTAATTATATTCAGACGTTTTCCACTGACTTTCACGTGGAGAAAGTTCTGCATTCTTCAGCTTAGATAATAGTTTGCACGCTGTGATTTTTGTGACAGCGTTATGTCTTCCGCCAAGTGACAGGACATATTATGGTTGGAATAATATAAATAGTCCTATCCCTTTGCAGGTCTACCCACCAATTTCCGTAGTGCATGAGGTGACATCAGCATAGTCTGGGTGACAATCCAGGGACCTGGGGAAGATCGAGTAGCTCAAATCTTGCAAGATGATGCTCCAACACAATTCAGTAGTAGTAATCATAACTCATCGCAGGAGAAGCATAAAAGCGTTTACCTCTTGACCTAAGCATGTGTTACAAAGTAAAGGAAAGAGAGCTTTTTTTTCTGAAAGAAGCACTGAGGCTGCCTTTAGTTTCCCATCTGAAAATACAAGTTGCCTGGCTATTATGCTGGCTCACTGGTTTCAATACTTTGAGCCAGAGCAATTATGAAGATCACAAAAGGCAAAGTAAAGCCAAAAACTCCTAACCTACAACTTGTTCTGGCTTATGGGACCCATAAGTGCAGTAAAGCCGGCCATAAATGGTTCGATTCGAACCATCTATGGGCAAGGCTGATTGTACCCAAGTTGATACATCACTCGACTTGGGTACAAACTGCATGTTGGGTTTTTACATGTGATTATTGCCAGTGACTATAGCCGCTAGCAATAATCACTGTGTTCTCCCAGCAGGGACAGCTTGCGGGGAGAGAATGTAACAGCTCAGCAGGAGGGATTCTTCCATCAACACTGACCCACATTGCAGGAAAGAAAATCAAATCCTAAGGCCTGCCTAAGACAGCCAGGTGACTAGCATTTGCATAATGAGAAGGTGGCACTTTTAGGTGTCTAAGGATGGTAGCATGTGAGTTTGCCTAGGAGGTTTATGTAGGTTTTTCTTTCTGACCCTTAGCATTGCTAGTGTGTCTTTGTATTTTATTAGTCTATGTGTTTGTTGTAGAGAAGGTCTATTGTACAAATTAAAAACACTTTTATTTTTGTTCTGAAAGGGTGGTGCTGTTTTTTCCTAATGCATTTTCTGTATTAAGGTAAAAAACCTTCCAATACATGTTCACCCCCAACACTTAGTCCTCTCACACTCCAGCGCTGTCTCCAGCAGCAGCACTGCTCTCTCTTCCTGGTTTCGCAGGAGCTGTACGCTCTTGCTGCTGTCAGCCAGATCCCATGAGGAGGGAGCAGGGGGATACACACAGCCTGTCTTGGGAGCCCGCCCGCACCGCCTGCACAGGTTTCCCTATAGCACAACAGCTTGCTATGGGGGCAGCCAGTGGAAGAAGGAGAACACGGTGCTGGCAGGTGACTCCAGAAGAAGATTAAGGGGCAATGCTGTGCAATATTGTTACACAGAGCCGGTAACTATAACATCTTTTATTTTAGAAAAAAGAAAAAAAATTACTTTTATTATCACTTTCAAATTAGCCTGTTATGTCCAAAGTACCATTTTCTTGATTATGTCACACTCTTCATTTTAGGTTGGACTCTTGGTTCTCCGCTGTGCTCTTGATCTCAGTGCTGAAATTTTCCATCCTCACTTCTCAGATTTGATTAAACTTTTTAATCGAACCTTGTGTGATCTTCAGAATGGACCATCGCTCTTTTACACTGTGCAGTCTCTTACCAGCATCGTGCCTGAGTTTGTTGGTAATGAAACAGTAAGTGTATAGTAACCAGCATCTGCTTTCATTATCCACTTGTTTTTACTTAACCTTTATCTTATTTTTACCTGCCTGCCACCAGAACCAGCTGAGGCCTTTGATTCCTAAATTAGTAACCGCTATCAAGCAGTTGATACAAATCAACGAGGTAAGTCTTACAATTTGTGCTGCTCCCACTAACCATTCTGCTCTTACATGTAGTGTTGTTGGCTTACTTTAACCCCTTGACTTGCTTGTGTTTGCTGCCAACTCTTTGCTCTTGCTTTTCCTTCAGGGTTTATAATCCTCGCCCCCTTTAGGTATATTGGCCTTCCTGGTTGCTTTATTACCAGGCATCCATGCTTCAGGTGTTCAAAGCTGCTCCCTTGCTTGACTTTGTTTCTGATAATTTATTGATCTCAGTCCAGTTGCTTACCCACAAGGGTTATGCAATTCTATTGAAGTATCCCCAATTCTATCCACTGTAAACTGTTACTCCTGTCCAGCAATGAACATAGAGGGGGATTTATCAAAACTGTAGCAGGCAGAATCTGGAGCAGCTAGACATGGCCTCTAGACAGCATATTTATTTAATTTTAAAAGCTTAAAGTGGTAGTAAAGTCTTGGTGTTTATCTGCTGACAGGCAGGGTTTTTATAACCAGAAGAGACCCTAGTGGTCTCTTCTGTCATAAATGACGACCCCTGCCCATCAGTGGGTAATGTGATCTGAGCCACACATGCGCAGCTCAGGTCACATTTACTGCCCGCTGTCTGTGCCGCAGCGATGTGACTCCCATGTGCATGCCCAGGAGTGACATCGATGCAGCCCAGCCATTGAAGCTGCCGAAGATCTGAAATCCAGGGGACCTGTGACAGCGCTGTGCTGGAGGGTTCAGTTTCTAGGTAAGTCTGTCCTAATGTGTTTGCATTCAATGCATACTAATACGTTATGACCTAAACCTGCCAGGGGACCAGCTTTTTTGTTTTTAATACACAAGTTTACTACTGCTTTAACTGACAAGCTGAAGATAAGCTGATTGATTACTATGCACAGATGCTCCAGATTCAGTCTGCTCCAGTTTTAGTAAGTTCCCCTCATAGAATCTAGTGGTAGCAGGGTTGCATTAGGTGCATTTGATTGAGGCAGTCGCAGTGGATTTATTGACTTTAGCATAGCTGCAATCTTTCCTGGAGAGTTTTAGCAGCAGGCCACCAATTTATTTTACTGGACTAGAGGTACTGCTTAACAGGTTCCCGCCTGGCCTATAGCCAGATGGGCGGCCTGCAAAACCCCTCGTCCCTCCGAGTGGTCGCCGTATGCGTCCTTTCGGGCATGCGCAGTTTGCATGCCCTCAGAGCCGCACAGTGGCGCGATCTGTCACCGGCCGTGTACCTCGGACTCGGCCGATGACAGATCTGAGTACCAGCCCCGTTGCTGGTACCATGTGACCTGCTGTGACCAATCACAGCAGGTCACGTGACAGTTGTATACAATGGATGTCTTCATTCATGCCATCCATTGTATACTAGTGTGTCTAGTTGTGAATGGTCACAGCGATCACATGCCCGTGCTGTGCCAATCACAGCCCAGCTGTGTCATGTGATTAGCCGTGACCAAATCACCACACTAAGCACACAAAAAAAAAAACCCTGACTGAATCGATGTCATTCAGGTAAATGCTTGCTTATTGCAAAGTAATTCTTGTAAATTGTGTAAAAAAAAAAAAAAAAAAACAAATACTGATCACTTCCCCAAAGTAGTACAATGTTACTATGGTAACATTGTACTACTTTGGTCATAGTGAAATATGAAAAAAAAAAATATGAAAAAAAAGTAATAAAAAAAATTAACTTTTTTTTTTCATACTGTCACCAGTCAGTGTCCCTGATCACTGCCATGCCAGTTATGATGACGCTGTACTGCACTGGTGATAGTATGTAAAAAAAATAGTGAAATAATTTTTTTTCATTTTTCGAAAAACTATGACAAAAAAAAATATAACTTCAAAAAACTCGCCATGCCTGTTATGAAATACGTCAGACTGTCTACTTTGCAAAAAGGGGTCATTTGGGGATATCTGTATTGTTCTGACATTCTTGGCCCTCAAGAAATTAGATTGGCTGTCAGTACTTCAGGATTGATCAATATTCAGATATATCCCATAGCTTGTGAACGCTAGAACTTTCCTACAAACTAAAAAATACATCCTAATTTGGGTTATTTTCACCAAAGACATGTAGCAGAATACATCTTGTCCTAAATTTATGAAGAACAATTATTTATTTGCAAACTTTTATAACAGAAACAAAGAAAAATGTGGGGTTTTTTTTTTCAAAATTTTCGGTCTTTTTTTGTTAATTTAGCAAAAAATAAAAACCCCAGTGGTGATTAAATACCACCAAAAGAAAGCTCTAGTTGTCTGAAGAAAATTATAAAATTTTAGTTTGCGTACAATGTTGTATGACCGCGCAATTGTCATTCAAAGTGTGAGAGCGCTGAAACCTGAAAAATGGAGTGTGCAGGAAGGGGGTAAAAGTGCCCGGTATGGAAGCGGTTAAATACAAATGTGTAACTATGTTTGGGATTTTTTTCAGTTCTTGGTTACCTTGTTTTTTCAACTTCCACATCTCTTACAAGCATTGGGACTTTAAATGTGTTATGTCATATGCATAACATTTTTACAACATACATTTTTTACAACATTAAATTGTAATTGTACATTAATTCCACAATTAAAATCTGTTTTCCCCACAGTAAAAGAATGCAATCTCTATTTTATTTACAATACCTTCTCTTTATTTACAATACTCCTTCACGTTAATACCCTATTTAACCCTTACCCTTCAGCATCTATTGCATCTCTTGGAAAAATTATCTGTAATCTATTGCCTGCAGATCAGATGGTGAAACTTGGGCAATTTCCAACTTGGGTTCTTAAGCCCACTTCTCCAGGAATTGTGAAGTCTGTATTACATAAAACAAGGCAATAATTACTACATAAAATAGCACTATAATTACATATACAATAATACATCCTGTTACATCATTTTCACATTTTGGATTTCTCGGGTACATAAAAAGAGTTTCTAACATATATCACACTAATTGCTTACATTATATTAGATTGGACTGGGCAGACAGCCGAGCACCTCACCAACCTCTCCCTTTTGGTTGCTATACTGTCAGCTCCATAAATATTGGGACATCGACACAATTCTAACATTTGTGGCTCTATACACCACCACAATGGATTTGAAATGAAACAAACAAGATGTGCTTTAACTGCAGACTGTCAGCTTTAATTTGAGGGTATTTACATCCAAATCAGGTGAACGGTGTAGGAATTACAACAGTTTGCATATGTGCCTCCCACTTGTTAAGGGACCAAAAGTAATGGGACAATTGGCTTTTCAGCTGTTCCATGGCCAGGTGTGTGCTATTCCCTCATTATCCCAATTACAATGAGCAGATAAAAGGTCCAGAGTTCATTTCAAGTGTACTATTTGCATTTGGAATCTGTTGCTGTCAACTCTCAAGATGAGATCCAAAGAGCAGTCACGATCAGTGAAGCAAGCCATCATTAGGCTGAAAAAACAAAACAAACCCATCAGAGAGATTGCAAAAACATTAGGCGTGGCCAAAACAACTGTTTGGAACATTCCTAAAAAGAAGGAACGCATCGGTGAGCTCAGCAATACCAAAAGACCCGGAAGACCACGGAAAACAACTGTGGTGGATGACCGAAGAATTCTTTCCCTGGTGAAGAAAACACCCTTCCCAACAGTTGGCCAGATCAAGAACACTCTCCAGGAGGTAGGTGTATGTGTGTCAAAGTCAACAATCAAGAGAAGACTTCACCAGAGTGAATACAGAGGGTTCACCACAAGATGTAAACCATTGGTGGGCCTCAAAAACAGGAAGGCCAGATTAGAGTTTGCCAAACGACATCTAAAAAAGCCTTCACAGTTCTGGAACAACATCCTATGGACAGATGAGACCAAGATCAACTTGTACCAGAGTGATGGGAAGAGAAGAGTATGGAGAAGGAAAGGAACTGCTCATGATCCTAAGCATACCACCTCATCAGTGAAGCATGGTGGTGGTAGTGTCATGGCGTGGGCATGTATGGCTGCCAATGGAGCTGGTTCTCTTGTATTTATTGATGATGTGACTGCTGACAAAAGCAGCAGGATGAATTCTGAAGTGTTTCGGGCAATATTATCTGCTCATATTCAGCCAAATGCTTCAGAACTCATTGGACGCCGCTTCACAGTACAGATGGACAATGACCCAAAGCATACTGCAAAAGCAACCAAAGAGCTTTTTAAGGGAAAGAAGTGGAATGTTATGCAATGGCCAAGTCAATCATCTGACCTGTATCGGATTGAGCATGCATTTCACTTGCTGAAGGCAAAACTGAAGGAAAAATGCCCCAAGAAAAGCAGGAACTGAAGACAGTTGCAGTAGAGGCCTGGCAGAGCATCACCAGGGATGAAACCCAGCGTCTGGTGATGTCTATGCGTTCCAGACTTCAGGCTGTAATTGACTGCAAAGGATTTGCAACCAAGTATTAAAAAGTGAAAGTTTGATTTATGATTATTATTCTGTCCCATTACTTTTGGTCCCTTAACAAGTGGGAGGCATATATGCAAACTGTTGTAATTCCTACACCGTTCACCTGATTTGGATGTAAATACCCTCAAATTAAAGCTGACAGTCTGCAGTTAAATCACATCTTGTTCGTTTCATTTCAAATCCATTGTGGTGGTGTATAGAGCCAAAAATGTTAGAATTGTGTTGATTTCCCAATATTTATGGACCTGACTGTGTATCATATGAAGTGGTGAAAAACCGATATAATATATAGCGACCAATAGAACTAAGCACCATAAAAGTGATAACTGAACAATAATTTGGTTAATAGACAGATCAACTAGAAAAAAAAAAAAGTTGGCATACCGATGTCATTCACAGTCCAATGATAATGTGACTCCCAGAGAGCTTTGTCTGATCCACTCCCTTCCCAGGTCCAGTCTAATATTCATGTAAGCATTTTTTTGTTAAATATTGAAAACAATCTTTATGTATCAGAGATATCTGAAATGTGAAACTGATTTACTGTATATGGATGTATTAATATATCTACATATATATTTTTCGAGTGTTATTTTATGTACTGATTATTTTCTTTTTTTTAATGAAAAACAGCCTTCACTATTTGATAAGCACACAAGAGTTTACAGATCATTTTTTCCATGGGATGTAATAGATGCTGAAGGGTGGGGATTAAATAGATTATTAATGTGGAGAAGTACATATACATTTATTGGCTTTATCGCATAAATGTGATGTCGTCTGACATGTCATATGGATGTGGGGGAAGATATTGGCTCTATGGGGCTGTGCAAACATTGTACTATTTTACTGTTGGCAAACATATTTTTAATTGTGGAAAAGTACATGTAAATAATTTTATGTTGAAAAAAAATTTATTTGCGTATTTTATATGATATATAACATGATAGGGCTCATACAGATGGACGATTAAACCCATACTCCTTGTAGAGCTGCTGGGAGAGGTGTGTGCAGGCTCTGCCTTTTGGATCCATGCCTCTGCTTCTGCCTGTATATCAAACTTTGACATGCTGGTGCTGCGTGTGCTCTCCACTTCTATGTGCTGCCTGCATGCAGCTCTAAGGTGCATGCAAACGCATCTGCCTGCAACTCTGCATGCAGAACAGGCTTAATCACCCATCTGAATGAGCCCATATAGAACACCTACACCTAATTCCAATGCATGTAAGAGATGTGTAAATACTACTAAGAGGGACATGGTGTAATCTTCTTTGTGGCCAGTGGTAGTATTGAGACACTTGTTTTTTCAATGTATCTTTCCCAGGTTCAAGCTTGTGAAGCAATGGAAGTCTTTGATGAACTGATGGAAAGTGAAGTGTCTGTTATTGTTCATTGCTTAGCAGAGGTCATTCACTTCTGTCTTGAGGTATTTCATTGAACTTTTTTTTTTTTAATATATATAATATAAATATATAATTTTTTTTTCTTTTTTTTTAATTTATTTATTTTATTTATTTCAGTACTTCTATAAAATTGAATTTGTATTTAGATTTCTCAATAAATATGTTTGCCATTACATAGTATATGTGCATAGTCCTTAGCCATTTCTGCTGTAAACTTTCTCTACAGCATCCTTATTTTGGGTGTTAAAGGGAGTCAGATGAAAATGTAAAGGAAATGTACAAGCGAGAAGATCTGAAAGCATACCATTAGAATGACTCTAAGGGGTTGTAGAACATATAGGGTACCCCAGACTTGTCTTCTGTCTCAGAACACTTGCAGCTAAGTAGCGTGGCAAACAAATAATAAAACTGCTAAAGACACTAATTTTTTTATAATTGCTAAAGTTTTCTAGAAATGTCTAGCAATGAATTCACTTGAAGAGAAAAGGCAGCTTAGTAAAAGCGTAACTTTTATTCTTGTCTGATGCAGATCGCTGTGAACAAGTCTCTTTCTGATGATCTCCGTGTAAAGGCACTTTACTGCATCCGCTTCCTCATTAAACTCAAAAGCAAGGTAAGTTGTAGGATTCTAGAAATGTAATGTTTTAATAGCTTGTACCAGTATGGCATAAACATATGGAAGGTCTTGATGAGAACAAGTTGGCTAAAGTGGAAACAAACCCATCTATCCTTTGGAGCCAAAGACAGTATAATCCTACCCTCTAAGATATGCAGTTTCAATTGTGCGGCACTTGTGATCAGTTAACACCAGCCATTTGAGGGCTTGAGTGTTTTGTTGAGAACTGACATAAACACATGAAAAGCTTTGACAGTTATCACCAGAGGAATGCCTAGAATGTAGCATACACTACACATGTGCTAGTGGGCAGAAAAGTAAACGAAAACACAGCTGAAAACTACATTGGTGTGTTTGATATTTATTGAGCATCAATCTTTCTTTTAGGAAACGGTTAAAAACATGGGTTTTACTATAATGCCTTGTTCACACAGGTGTATCATAGTGTACAAAAGTTCAAAGACCGCACTGGGACACAGGTGTTCATGCACCCCCGTGCAGGCAGTCCCATTCCTGTTAGTTGGGACACAGCTATACAACAGCTGCGAATCCCAATTTGAGAGCCATGCAGGTGAATGGCCTAAAACACAGACACAGTGTGCATTCAGGGCCACACAAAAAAAACAGCCAGTTGAGCTGTGGTTTTTTACCACCCCCCAACCGCCCACCTAAAGTCTAAATATAGTTAAAGGGGCTGTTCACATGCTGCTGAAAATTTAATGCAGCAAGTCGAGTTGACAAACAGCATTGCCTGTCAAACTCTGCCATTCAAATCGATGGATCTGTGTCACAACTACAAGTCAAATGCATGGTTCACTGTTGCAGCTTGTTAAACCCATTGCAAATTTCTCCTTTACAAAAAACAAAAACAAAAAAAAAAATCAGGAATTCAGGATCACCTCCTGAATGCCTGACAATGGCTGCTTAGCTGCACTATGAAAAGCAGTCAAACCCAGATCACTTTTACTTCCAACTAAATTTGGATTTAGTTCCACTTTAAGTTCCTTATAGCTACCACAGGAATTAAAGGGGAACTTACTGTCCCTATTAGTCAGTTTTATATTATGTGTAATGTAAACGAGTTGTAAGAGTACTGGCTTTTGTAGCCAGGGAAGGAGGGAAAAAAACAGCCATGTGATTGTTCAGCTCAGGCTCTCAATGAATATTAAAAGCCAGAAGGTGGCTGGACTCTGCAAACTCCACTTATACCTGCCAAACTGGTATTCTCCAAATGTTCATTTGGGGGACAAAGTAGAGAGGCTGTCAGGAGCATGCAGTACAGCCAGAACACTTCCAGGTGGCTCTGTCATCCCTGGACTAGATTGGGGTATTCCCAGTCCACCAAGGGAGGGCTCCCAGCAGCGTGCAGAACATTGCAGTTAATCACCACCTGATAGCTTCTGGTAGGCTAGAACTGGAAAGTGTCTCAGCATTGTGCCTGTCTGTTTCTGTCTGACCTTCATGTCTTGTACCTGCTATTCCCTCTGCCATTCTGCCCCCTTGCCTGACTTCACTTTGCCCTACTTCTCTTGCTTGTTTCCCTGAGGTATTTTAGTACAGAGGTAGCTTGTAGTTAGTTATTCACTGCACTTGCACGTGTGTTACACCATCTGTTAATTGTTTTTTTTTTGTGTGCATGTGTTTGGTGTTGTATGCTTACTAATAAATTGGATTGTCTTCTTTACCACTTGCCGACCGCAGTTAGCCGAATGACGGCTTCACTGCGGCCGGCCAGTTCTGGAGGGGCATCCTATGATGTCCTCCTAGAACGCGCTCTCCTGCGCGCCCCGGCGATTTCCGTGATCGCTGTGTCCTACAGACACAACTGATCACGTGATGTGGTAAAAGGCCAATCACTGCGGCCTTTTACGACGTGATCAGCCGTGTCCAATGACACACTGATCACCGGGACATGTAATTGCCGATTATCAGCTGCACTTTACTCACTCTGTCACAGCGTGAGGGAAAGTGCTGCTGAGAACCGGCAGTTGTCAGAGGAGGGATTAGCACCGATCATCAGGGCACCGATGATCAGTGCCCTGATGACCTGTGCCCAGCAGTGCCACCCACCTGTGCCCAGCATCAGTGTCACCAGTCAGCGCCCATCAGTGCTGCCTATCTGTGCCACCTATCAGTGCCCATCAGTGCTGCCTTATCAACGCACATCAGTGAAGGAGAAAAATTACCTGTTTGCAAAATTTTATAGTAGAAACAAAGAAAAAATTTTTTTTTCAAATTTGTTTTTTTGTTTATAGCGCAAAAAATTAAACAATCAGCGGCAAGTAAATGCCACAAAAAGAAAGCTCTATTTGTGTGAAATAAATGATAAAAATTTCATATGGGTACAATGTTGCATAATCCGCGCAATTGCCATTCAAAGCGCGACAGCGCTGAAAGCTGAAAATTGGCCTGGTCAGGAAGGGGATATAAGTGCCCGGTAGGCAAGTAGTTAAATAGTGGTATCTCCCTATATGTACCGGTAGTTTAAATACCTGGTCTCACTAGACCATGGATAACCACTTACTGGTTTTCTGATGGAGGCGTGGATACTTCCACGTAGGGTATACCCCTTTGCACAGAAACAAGGAGCACAAATACAGTTTCAGTCAAGCTGTTTCTCATTGAAACCTAGATCAAGTCTGCTAATAAGGAATCTGTCACTGCTCTGATATTTAACCATAAATTTCAACTTGAACTATTGAGCACTGTAAACAGATATTTTACTACAGATGAAAAAAACTAGAAAATCTGCAAAAAAAATGGAGCTGTAGGCTCCAGCAGCTGGCTGCTTGTGAAAATATAAAATATTTACAGACAACATTTCTAACTGACTTGAAATAAAATAAAAAATATTTTTTTAGTTTTGTCAAGTAGTGAAAATGTGCACAAATTCCTTTAAGAATCAATGAATTCCTGGCATTAAACCACCTTTTTAAAATGTAGCCGCAGTGTTTGTTACTCTTTTACCTTTCTTCTATTGTGTTTGATACGATAATTTGTACTGTATCTTATCCTAGTGGACCATCTTGAAGCAGAAGTTGCTGCCTCAGATTCTCAATGCAGCATGCAGTGTTCCCCATCATGTGTGCTGAGCCTCCTCCTGGGCAATTAGACCCTGAAGACCAGGAAGATGAGGATGAGTTATTGGAAGATCAGGCTGAGGTGCAGTTACCAAACACTATTGCAGTCCAGGTCAGTAGTGATATATATGAAATACCATCTTTAATTGTTGGGTCATGTGTTTTTTTTTTTGTTTTTTTTTAAGTGTTTAATTTGAATGTGTCTGTTTTTATAGGTCATTGATATCCTGGCCCTTCATCTGCCTCCGAGAAATTGTTTTCTCAAACTGGTAAACAAATATTCGCTAGTTAGTAATGACTTTTATTCCTCTGTGTCTTGTTTTTGTCTAAGTTGTAGCTCTGCCATGTATGCAGTGGTTGATTTTTATTATTGACTGAAACTATAGTTATATTGTTGAACCCAGTAGAAACTTCCATGTCTTAGGAAGTTGTGAGAATTTCACCTCTGATTGATTCTTTACAAGCTTAGCTAGACTTACCCTCCTTTTTGTTAACTTTTTTTTCCCTAGGACCCCACTCATGGAGCCTTGTCTCCTTAGCAAAAATCCTTATGAGCGGAAAGCTGGGCTAATGTGTCTTGCCGTTCTCAGTGAGGGTTTTGTGCGGATCACATTCGGAACAAGTATGTTTGACTATGCATTATCTGAATATTATTTCCTATGGTGGAATCTTTTATATAGAAACCTATAAACACAAAAAGGTCCATGAACTGGTATTGTTTCATTTTCTATCGATAGAAACACAACTTTCCGCACTTGCCCCTACTTATGTATTGTGACGTGAGTGGATTGTTATTTTTATTTGGAAAAAAAAAAAAGGCACTTCTTCAGTAAAAGGAACTTACTTTTGTAGTGCTGCATGATTCACGGTGCCTGAAATGTCACCCAACCAATGCAACATTGTAGGACTGCAGAATAGCCTGTGGCTGCTATGGGCACCCAAGCATAAATTAAATGTGTAAGTGAAAGTCTGAATGAGTGCTTCTTTGAAACCTTTAACAAGAGAATAAATGGAAGCTGAAGTTTCTGGTCATTGTCCAGTATCCTGGCCTCAATACTTTATCACAATTTTAGAAAAAGCTTGCAAACTATTGATACTTCCAACCTCATGTCCAATCACTATCAAAATCATGCAGGCTCCACCTCCGCAACATCTCCAAGATAGGTACATTCCTCACCCCAGACACTTCTACACAACTCGTACACTCCCTTATCTTACGCCTGGACTACTGCAACTCCCTTCTCACTGGCTACCCAAACAAACGCTTATCCCCCACTCCCAGCCTATCCTGAAACTCAGCGGCTAGACTCATCCACCTCACCAAACTGCTCCACATCTGCCTCCCCCCTCTGCCAATCTCATTCATTGGCTCCCGATTGCCCAACGCAATAAATTCAAATTACTAACTCTGACCTACAAAGCCATTCACAACGCTGCCCCAAACTACCTAACTGGCCTGATACCCAAATACCACCACTAGCCCCCGTGCCCTTCGCTCCTCACAGGACCTCCTACTCTCTAAGCTCCATGGTCTCTCCTCCACGCCCGACTCCAGGACTTCCCCCATTCCTCTTGTGAATCTCCCTACCCCAATCCATCAGACTGCACATACCCTCCTCACCTTCGAGGCGCACCCTGAAAACCCATTCCCTCTTCAGGGAAGCTTACCCCACCCTCACCAAACCAAATGATCTCTCCACTCCTCCACCACTCCATTCCCCCACAGCCACTTCCTCCTGATGAATCCACTATCCCCTCCCTCCTTGATTGTAAGCTCGAAAGTGCAGCTAGCGGCCCTCGAACCCCTCGTGTATTGTTATTGTTTCTGTCTTTGTCTCATGTGCTGTCCCCCTCGCTACTTTTTGTACTGCGGATTTTTGGGGGTGGGGAGCAAAAATCCTTTGGCGCTATTTAAATACTGTATAAATAATAATAATAATTGAAGCAGGGGAAAGTCAGAACCCATAAACTTTTGTTTCACTTGTTTGGATCCAAAATTATTAAAGCTTTGAAGTTGACATAACCTGCAACGGCATCAAGTAGTTTCAATAGAAGCTTTCATAAATTAAGATACACCGGGCAACCATTTTACGATTTTTAAAGTAAAGCATCTGGAAGCAGACAACATAAGGTGACTGCTATTACCTTTGCTAAAAAAAAAATTGGTGTGCCTCTCTGAAGCACAGTTTCACTTTTTACAATACCCACTAGGCCCGAGCCCTCCCAAGGAGGTGCTCTTTGGAAAAAAAGGCTTTATCATTAGTCCATTTTAAAGGAACGGAAACATTTGGCATGAAGGGGAAGGAGGTACCATAAATCATTGAGTGAACAAATATATGACCGATCATGTACCCCCCCGGGAAAAACCCCTTTTTTTTTCCCCCCCCTTTTAAAACCCAAAAAAATTTTTTTCCCCCCGGGGGGGGCCCCCCCCCCCCCAAAACCCTTTTTCCCCCCGGGGAACTTTCCCCCAAAATTTTTTTTTGGGGCCCCCCTTTTTTTTTTCCCCCCCCCCCAAAAAAAATAAATTAAATTTTAAAAAAAAAAATTTTTAAAACCCCCCCCCTTTAAAAAAAAAAAAAAACCCCCCCTTTGGGGGCCCCCCCTTTTAACCCCCTTTTTCCCCTTTCCCCCCCCGGGGGCCCCCCCTTTTTAAAACCCCCCCCAAAAATTTTCCCCCCCCCCGGGCCCCCAAAAAAACCCAACCCCCGGGGGGGGGGTTTCCCCCCCCCTTTTAAATTTAAACCCCCTTTTTTCCCCCCCTTTCCCCAAAATTTTTCCCCCCCCTTGTTGAAGGGGAAAGGGGGGGGTTTCCCCCCGGGGGGGGGGGGGTTTTTTTTTTCCTGCCCCCTTTTTTTTGGGGGGAAATTTTTGGGGGGGGGCCCCCCCTAAAAACCCTTTTTAAAAAAATTTTTTTAACAAAAAAAAATTTTTCCCCTTTTTTTTTTTGGAAAAAAAAAAAAATTTTTTTTTTTCCCCCCAAAGGGGCCCCTTTTTCCCCAAAAAATTTTTTAAAAAAAAAGGGGCCCCCCTTTTAAAAGGGAAAAAAAATTTTTTTGGTGCCATGTCGTAGGTTCTTAATAAATCATTTACTGTACTGCTACACCTTAGATGGCGTCTGACCTCTTTCCTTTTTCTATATGTTTTCTACCAGAGTCCCATCTAGCTCTTTTTCGTGAAGCAAAAAAAAAAATTTTTTTTTTTTGGCCACTGAAGCATTCTGGATTTCTCTTGGACTATTGTCTCTGGGATATTATGTTACTTTTTCATTTAAATTGCTTTTATGTCTTAAACCTTGATCAGCCTCTTTCAAGTGCGTCAGGATTACCCCTCATTTTTGTTCTCTGTAAGAGGCACGTAGCGACTGTGGATTGGGGAATACAGACTCTTAGCTAGTAAAAGAGGACTTATCCGATCATTTTATTTGTATCAATATTTAAAAATACTTTCTCTTCTAGGAACCTTTTTTTTCAGTCTATGTTGCAATTTGGTTTGTTTTTTTTTATCTTTCAGTTGATTTGCCATGTTCATTGTTCTTTTTTCCAAGGAGAATTTTTTATTTTCTTGCGACTGGTTTCTGAACATTTCTTACTAGGTAAAGTGCATAGTTCCTGATCGGCTACAGAACTGGACGCAGATCTACCGTAATCTCCTTTTTTTTCTGGAAGTATTATTTTTTCTTTTCTACCCCTTAGTTGAGTGGTCATTGGTCAGGTATATGGCCCTGCTACCTGGGTCCTCCCAGACATGAGGGGTGGGGGCGGTGTGGGCGGTGGGGGTGTAGTCCCGAGGCGGAGTCGTGTGTCCTTGTGGTTTCTTTCCTCCCCTCCTCTAAAAAAAATCTAGAGTGGGAGGGGGTTCGCCGAGAGCGAGTCTTATAAAAAATAATATGGTCATAGAAGCGTGAGGGCTGCGGGGGGGGGATCTTCAAGAGAGAGTACTGACAGGGAGGCGAGGGAAAAGAAGGGGGTCTTGAAATACAAAAAAAATGGAGCGAGAAATGAAAATTACAAGAAGAAAGTGGCCAAGTTACTCGAATTTTTTTCGAATAATACGTGAACATCTCCTAAAAAAAAGAAGAAAGGTTTTTTTTATCAAAGAAGGAGCCATAGAGCAAATTCCTGTGTGGAAGTTCCAACTTTTACCAGAGATGGAGAAAGAGTTCGTAGGCCCCACACCTAATTTAATGTTTTTTTGAGCGAAATTAACAATTCTTGGTGGGGGAATTTTTAGATTTTCAGAGGGGGCAAAAGAGGGGACACGGGAGGAGGGCGACGAGGGGGAGCGTAAGAAGACAAAAGGAGAGAAAGCGAAGCACGAGGATTTTCTTCAAAGAGAAAGACGGGATGCAGCGAAGGGATTACAAAGGAAGAAGAGTTGGAAGCCAGACAGGATTGATGACGTGTAAGAACAGAGGAGTGACAGGTGGAAGATGACGAGCGAAACGAAGGCGAGAGAAAACGAGACAATCAGGCCACCAAGGAGCACAGACACTCTGAAGAGAGGAGCACAAACAAGCACACATCTCGTATCTCTCTCCATCCCATAAGAACATGGGCGACCACAATGGACAACAGAAAGGCGAGCGAGAGAGACCCCCCAGCGAGAGAGAGAGAGAAAGAGATCAAGTGAGGACGAGAGTTCTCAACACACCATGGAGAGCGAGAAGGGATTACTCCCAGAGAGAGAAGTCTCTCCGAGAGCCAGAGGAGAGAGACCAGTGGACCAGCGAGAGCGAGAGACCAAAGGGAGAGAAGAGCCGAAGCGAAAATCGGACGAGTTAGGACACACATGTGCACTGGAGATGAGGAAACGAGTCTGCCTTCCATATACAGGAATGAGCTTTCGAGGAGAGAGAGACAAAGATAGAGTCAAAGAGAGGACGGAAAGAGAGGCCCCGGGAGAGAGACACAAGAGAGAGAGAGAGAGAGAGCAAAACAACTAGTATTAGATAGACAAAATACAGAACTTCAAAGCACAAACAGGAGAGAGAGATCGATTATCCAATTAAGAACTAACCTTATTATTCTCAGAAGAGACCAATAACCTTATCAAAAAAAAGGCGATCCAGAGCAGTCAATTCAGCGAGAAAATTCAGAGATTGAATTGACGTTGCGAGAGAGAGGAAATATTCAGGACTTAATAGAGAGAGCAGAGCTTCAACAAGGAGAGAGAGAGAGAGAGCGAGAGAGAGCGAGAAACAACAACGCCAGGGGGGTGGGGGGTCATTAAGGGGGAGAGCGGACGCGCACAGAAGGGAGTGGAGAGACGATAAATAAAAAGGAGACAATAAGCGATTATAAAAAATATACTAACAAGAGAAACCAACCTTAGAGATAGCGGAGAGCAAATGCCTAATTACACCACGGAGAGCGGAGAGAGAGACCAAGGAGACTCGTATGTACGGCGACACCATCTTAAGCTAGAGAGAACCGAGTCAAGGCGCGCGCGCGCACCGAGCACAAAAAGGCGTGCGAGAGGAGCGAGGAGACACAACACTAGGAGAGCACCTCCCCCACACAAGGCAGGCGAGGGTAATGAGCACAAAGTAGCGAGATCCCACAAGGAGAGCAGGGGACACCTCCCCACAAACCAAAATAGGAAGAGAGATAAGAATAATACATCCAGAACTTGCCAAACATCCTACGATTATACACCACCAACTAGGACAGAGAGAGAGAAGACAAGAGATAAGCGAGACGGGGAACGATCAAGAGCCGGAAGAGCGAACGGAGACATTCCCACCCACTCAAACACCCCCAAGACCAAGAAGAAAAAAGGAGAGAGATCGAGTGAAAAGCGGTGGAAAAGGACGTCCCACCAAAAGACACAAACAACAAAAAAAAAAAAGGGGAAAAACAAAGAGGGAGAGAAAAGAGGAAACAAAAAAAAAAGGGGAACGAGCAAAAACGAAACAAAAAACAGCTTAGGGCGGGGGAAGAGGGGAGAGAGAAAAACAAAAGAAATAAAAAAAACAGAGAAAGGGCGAGCACGAGAAGAAAAAAAGGGGGGGGGGGCCCCCCCCAAGGGGGGGGAAGGGGGCCCCCCCGGGGAAAAAAACCCAAAAGGGGGGGCCCCCCCGGGCCCCCCCCCCCCTTCCCCCCCAACCCCCCCCCCCCCCCCCCTTTTTTTTCCCCCCCCCCCCCCCCTTTTCCCCCCCCTTTCCCCCCCCCCTTTCCCCCCCCCCCCCCCCCCCCCTTTTTTCCCCCCTTTTTTCCCCCCCCCCCCCCCCCCCCCCCCCCTTTTTTTCCCCCCCCCCCCCCTTTTCCCCCCCTTTCCCCTCCCCCCCCCCCTTTCCCCCTCCCCCATTTTCCCCCCCCCCCCCCCCCCCTTCCCCCCCCCCCCCCTTAAAAAACCCCCCCCTTTTTTTCCCCCCTTTTTGGGGGTTTTTCCCCAATTTTTAAATTTTTTTTTTTTTTTTTTGGGGGGGCCCCCCCCTTTTTTTTAAAAAAAAAGGGGGGGAAAAAACCCCCCCCAAAAATTTGTTTTAAAAAAGGGGTTTTTGGGGTTTTCCCCTTTGGTTTTCAACAAGGTGCTTATGGCGTTTGGTTCTGTTCTCAAGGGATTCACATTGTGGCATAGGTGGATGATCTCCTGTTTAAAGTACCAGCTCTCCCTGTCAGCCAACATCTGACAGACATTACAGGCTCTGTACAGCTGTTTGAATTATCCCTGGACCCAATTCACAGATTAGAGTACTTGGGTCTGATGCTGAATATGTCCTTGTCCAAAAATGTTCTGCCTTAGGATAAATGTCTATTTTTTTCTGCCATATACCTAGGCCCTCTTTGCCCAGTAGAAGCCATTTATTCATGTTTGCTCGAGGGTCTTGAGTCTCATTAGGGTCTCTTTGAGGCAGTGCCATATGCCCAATTTAACCTCAAACCATTTCAATTCAGCATTCTGTTTGTGTAGGATAAACTGATTCTGTCCTTGGACTGCCGAAGGCATCTAACCTCCAAAGTTAGTCTCTACAATCCTAGTTGATTTCCAACCCAGAGCTTGAGTTAGGGAAGCCCTTTTCTCCACAGTTGTGGAAAGTTTTCATGATATATGCTAGCCTTTCAGGCTGTGGAGCAGTTCTGAACAGAAAGGGAACTTGGTCATTCAAGGAAGTTCAACTTCCAGTCAATATTCTGGAGCTCAGGGTGATTTGGTTCTCCCACTAGACTCCTTCATTGCAAGGACATCTGATGAGAATCATGAAGTTGGGGCTTTGCTTTAGCTAGTTACCAAGTGCCAAATTAGGTGTATATTCTTAAAGATCTTATTCAAAATCTACAGCTGAAATTTAATCTGCCTATACTCTACCTTTCTAGTTTCTTCCCCCCCACCCTCATCATCGACACTCTAATAAAATGATATGAAATAAAACTTTCCTGTCTTCGTTACATATTGTATTTCAGATCCAACCCCAATGGGTTTAAATTGTAATTGCATTATTTAAGCATTTCTCCAGAATTTCCAAACTCATATTCTCCTAGAGTAAAAAAAAATCAAAAATGTTATTCTTTATGGTAATAAGGTTTGAACAATCTATACAATCACAGGTTTAGCTGTTATATAACGGCTTTATAAGTAAAACTTCCCTCCCTCACATTTTTGTTCCATTTTCAATCGTTGATGAAAATTGGAATTGATTTTTGTCATAGGTTTTGTCAATTTTTGTTTAATTAGAAATGAACACTGGTGAAGAAATGCTTTAAGATATTTTTTTTTTAATTGTTTATTTTTATCAACTTATAAACTGCAAAGTGAGTGAACAGAAAAAAAATCGAATCAACATTTGGTGTGACTACTCTTTGGCTTCAAACCAGCATCAATTCTTACACTTGCACACTTTGTACATTTGCACAAAATCATGGATTTTGAAGGATTAGTCGGTTGTATGATTAACCTGTTATACCAAGCAGTTGCTAATGATCATCAATTTCATATGTAGGTTTAAACACAGTAATTAATGAACAAACGGCTGTTTAGGAGGCTTAAAATTGGGTGAGGAACAGCCAAACTCGGCTACTAATGTAAAGTTGTGGAAGACAGTTTAGTGTCACAGGACATTTTACCATTGCAAGATTGAGCACAGCAACAAGACACAAGGTAGATATACTGCATCAGCAAGGTCACCCCCAGGCAAAGATTCAAAGCAGACTGGGGTTTGCAGATGTGCAGTTCAAGCTCTTTGAAGAAGCACAAAGAAATGTTCATCGTTAAGGAACGTAGATGTAGTTACTGGCCAAGGAAACAATGCAGCGGATGAAAGACACCTTATACTTATTTCCCTTAGGCATCAAACGATGCCCAGCAGTGCCATCAGTACAGAAATGTCTGAAACCAGTGAGACCCAGGTAAACTCACCTACTGTCCGGAGTAGTCTGGCCAGAAGTAGTCTTCAAGAAGGAACTGTGGCAAAAAAAAAGCCATACCTCTGATGTGGAAACCCGGTTAAGCTACTCAACTATGCAGAAAAACATAGGAACTGGGGTGCAGAAAAATGTCAGTAGGTGCTCCTGTACTGATGAGACAAAATATGAAAAATTTGACTATCGCAGGAGGCAGTTTGTTCACCAAAGGGCTGGAGAGAGGTACAATAATTAGTGTCTGCAGGAAGCAGTGAAGCATGCTGGAGGTTCTTTGCAAGTTTATGGCTGAATTTCTGCAAATTAAGTTGGAGATGCTGAGAAATACAGGCAAATATTTATCCATCATACCATGCCATCAAAGAGGCATGTGATTGGCCTCAAATTTATTCTGCAGCAGGACAACCACCCCAAACATACAGCCAATGTCATTAAGAACTATTTTCAGCATAGAGAAGAACATGAAGTCCTGTAAGTGATGGTTTGTCCCCCACAGAGCCCTAAACTCAACATCATTGAGTCTGTCTGGGATTACATGATGAGACAGAAGGATATGCGGCAGTCTACATCTTCAGGAGATCTGTAGTTAGATGTTTAAATGTTGTTAGATGTTCCAAGATGTTTGGAACAACCTACTTGCTGAGTTCCTTCAAAAACTGTGTGCAAGTGTACCTATAAGAATTGATGCTGTTTTGAAGGCAAAGGGTGGTCACACCAAAAATGTATTTGATTTGGATTTCTCTTCTGTTCTTATACTTTCCATTGTGTTAACTGGTAAAAATAAACTATTAACAGTTCTATTTCTGAAAGCATGCCTAATTTACAGCATTTTTTCCCACACCTGCCTAAAACTTATGTACAGTAGTATATTTTCATTTTTTTTCTAGCTGTTTTCACTACTTGTAACCTCTTCCCTCTCTCTTTCATAGCCGGATATCAGTAGCTATGCAGATTCTGTACTTCCACTGCTCCTGGAGTATTTGTCACGTGTGGATCCTTCTCATACGTCTCACCTCACCAAGGCTTATTTCGCCCTTGAGAACTTCGTGGAGAACCTTGGTGAGAGATGAGGCTACAACTTCCATATATATTGATACTGTTGTGTAAAGGGTGCCAGGATTGCAGATGATGCATGTGTAACTCGTACATGGGTATGACCATATGTACATACGGGAAACTTGTCAAACAGTTTATGGACTTTTCTGTGATTTGATTTTGTATCTTTGCCCATTTTGAGCCTACTGGCTCCATGGCATTTTCTGTGTTCCTGAACACTTAACTATTAATCCTTTTATCACGTGTTTTTTAAATTTTATCTACTTGACTTGATAAACATTTTAAGTTGTAATTTAATAAATGCTACTTGATACAGGGGGACAAGATAAAGTAAACTTTAACATTTGAAAGTATATGTAAACCAAGAACAAAAATATCATATATTGCAGCGTACCATTTGGTAATACAGCCATAGATGGATCGAATCTCCTCAGTTCAGCAGGGATCTGCTGAGATTCGCTCTATGGGCAGGCTGATTGTACTGGGGTTGATCCATTGATCAATTTCAGTGCAGCCAGGTACATCTGCGCTTAGCCATATACTTCTTTACTTCTTTTAAATCCTGCGTGTTTGGCGCACTTTCTGAAAGCGCACCAAAGCTCCTGAATGCAAGAGTTTTGGCACACTTTCAGAATGTGCACCGCACCTGCATGATATAATAGAAGTCTATGGCAAGGCGCAACTAACCCAGGAAAGTTACAGATGCACTGCGATGCACACGCAGTGCAGGTAATCTGCAGCACATCAGTATGAAAGAAGGGCTCATTTACATTTGCTGTTTGGGGGGTGGTAACCCCCCCCCCCATAGTTAAGACATGTTTTTACCACCCCAACCACACCCCCTTTAGCTGCAATGGCCAGGGGTGTACACATGCCGCAGCAGGAGTCATAGCCCTGTCATAGTTGGAGGGTGTACCACCTGCCAAGCATGACCCATTCATGTGAATGAGGCCCCTCTTCAAGTGCCCTTCAACCTTATGCAGTACAGCAAACCAGGGGTTTAAGCAGACAGTGTTGTGTTGCTTTCTCACCACCTGGTTTAACTCCTTAGACCCCACAGATGCATGCAGTTGTGGAACACTTGCAAGAGCGGCCCCAATTACTTGAATGGATTGTGATTGGCAGCACCCACCAAAAGAAACGGGGTTTAATTCCTGCTGCGGAATATGTACACCTTTGGTTGCTGCCTCAGCAGCTAAAGGGGGCAGGGATTGGGGCTAGTAAAACCGTGATTCAACTGCAGGGTTTTACCACCCCCTAATTTATCTGTGACCGAGCCCTACGGGTGCCACTGCCAAATGCAGCTAAGGGCCCATTCACAAGTGCAGCATGTACTTCTACCCTCTGAAAAGCAGTCCGAGTTGCCTCCTCACTACCTTATTTAAACCATCGATTTGGATGCAATGCACATGATTTGCAACACAGTAGTATGGCAATTAGAGGTTTAAGTGAGGTGGGGAAACTGTGCCCTGTGATCTTTGACTTCTCCCATGTTGTTCAGGTAGATTCTCCACCACTAAGGTTGCCGTGGTTTAAAATAAACCTGTTATGTGAAAAGGGTCAGGGCTGCCAATGAAAATCCTTGTTGTCTGGCTGTTATGATGGCTTAGAAGGATCATAAGTCTTTTATTTGCACTTGTATCAAGTCATTGTCTCAGGATACAAAGAGAAGTGGCATTTTTAGACGATAAGGTCAGCTTTGGCAACTTCCTCATATCTCTCCTCTGGTTTTCATTATCCCTGCTCTTTATTTAAAGTGTCCACCTCCTTTAGACACTAAGGGCCAGTGTCAATGGGATTTAGTTGACTATTTCTCTGCCCATATATTTGACACAGCTCGAAGCCTGTCGACAGAGGCCCTAAGACCGGAGTTCACAGGCGCGGTTTACTGATCCCCCTGAAAAGACTTACAGGGTTAGTGACCCTATGGGAATCAGAATGTAGCACTAATATTGGTAGGCACAATGTAGGTAATTGTGTAGACTCAAGCACTGTCATATTTGGGGGGGGGGGGGGGGGGGGGGGGCATGCTAATCTATGCAAATGCAAAATTTTAGAAAATCATAATTTGCATAGGCATTTTTCTAGGTACTCCTGACGATCAAGATAACTCTGAATATATGATTTGGCATCATATGATTCCTACTACATTGTAGGACTTTTTGTTTACATACTTGTTGCCAGCGTACTTTGAAGCTTTGAAATGCATACAGGGAACGCAGTCTGCCTTCTTAGTGATTTAGCTTTACATCCGTGCACATCTATAGTTCACCAGACCACCTCAATGAGATTTATTAATAATTTGGAAACTTGTTTGTGATGCAGATGATTCCCAAACACACCAACCTCTTGTGGACATTTTTTACATACAGTTGCAAGAAAAAGTATGTGAACCCCTTGGGATTACGTGGAGTTTTGCATGAATTGGGCATAAAATGTGCTCTGAACGTCATCTAAGTCACAACAATAGAAGAACACAGTCTGCTGAACATAATACTACACAAAACATTAGATGTTGCCATGGTTTAATTGCACATAACATGTAAACATTCACAGTGCAGGGAGGAAAAAGTATGTGAGGCCCTAGCTTAATGACTTCTCCCAGAGCTAATTGGAGCCAGGAGTGAGCCAACCTTGACTCCAATCAGTGTGATGATATTGGATGTGTTGCTGACAGCTGTCCTGCCCTTAAAAAGCACACACCTGTTTTGGGTTTACTGGTTTCAAGAAGCACTGTTTGTTGTGAACCATGCCTCGCAGAAAAGAGCTCTCAGAAGACCTACGATCAAGAATTGTTGACTTGCATGAAGCTGGAAAGGGTTACAAAAGTATCTCCAAAAGCCTTGATGTTCATGTGTCCATGGTAAGACAGACTGTCTACAATTGGAGAACGTTTAGCACTGTTGCTACTCTCCCTAGGCGTGGTCGTCCTGTAAAAATGACTGCAAGAGCACAGCGCAGAATGCTGCATGAGGTAAAGAAGAATCCCAGAGTGTCCGCTAAATACCTACAGAAATCTCTGGCACATGCTAACATTTTTGTTGACACATCTACAATAAGGAAAACATTAAACAAGAATGGAGTACATGGGAGGACACCACGGAGGAAGCCATTGCTGTCCAAAAGAATATTGCAGCACGTTTGAAGTTTGCAAAAGAGCACATGGATGTTCCACAGCACTACTGGCAAAATATACTGTGGACAGATGAAACCAAGATAGTGTTGTGTGTTCTTCCCAAACAACTCAATGTGTGGAGAAAAAAAAGGCACAGCACACCAACATCAAAACCTCATCCCCACTGTAAAACATGGCGGAGGGAGCATCATGGTTTGGGGATGCTTTGCTGCCTCAGGGCCTGGACGGATTGTTGTCATTGATGGGAAAATGAATTCCAGAGTTTATCAAGACATTTTGCAGGAAAACGTACGACCATCTGTCCGCCAACTGAAGGTCCGCAGAGGATGGGTGATGCAACAGGACAATGACCCAAAGCATACAAGTAATTCAACAAAACAATGGCTGCAACAGCACAGAATACGCCTTCTGGAGTGGCCCAGTCAGAGTCCTGACCTCAACCCGATTGAAATGCTGTGGCAACACCTTAGAGAGCGATTCACACCAGACATCCCAAGAATATTGCTACACTGAAACAGTTTTTTGTGAAGAGGAGTGGTCCAAAATGACTCTAGATCGTTGTGCAGGTCTGATCTGCAACTACAGGAAACGTTTGGTTGAGGTTATTGCTGCCAAAGGAGGGTCAACCAGTTATTAAGTCCAAAGGTTCACATACTTTTTCCTCCCTGCACTGTGAATGTTTACAAGTTATGTGCAATTAAACCATGGAAACATCTAATGTTTGTGTAGTATTATGTTCAGCAGACTGTGTTCTTCTATTGTTGTGACTTAGATGACGTTCAGAGCACATTTTATGCCCAATTCATGCAAAACTCCACATAATCCCAAGGGGTTCACATACTTTTTCTTGCAACTGTACAGAATGCCCAATAAAACGTGTGATTGCAGTCACCAGTCAGGTTTATATCTGTCTTGCTAGTTTAAATCTGATTGGTGATACATCAAACAAATAAGAGAGAAGGACTTGTATGGCACAGACCTCAGGAAGCAACATACCCACGGCACATGTGAAATACTTTCTGAAATCTTACTGCAGTGAAATGCTTACAACTCAGATTACCTAAATGCGTGAAATGTCTACATTTTTATTTTTTGAACTGCTCTGTAGAGTATATTTGAATGCAACTACTGTTTCCTATTTTAGTGGCCTTTGATTTTTAGCAAAAGAGTCATGGTTGATAGATTGCTTGTTTATTGAATGGAAATATTTTGTATTCACGTATTTGATTTCTTGAGTGTATAGCTGGCAAACAAACTTTTATAATGAGATTGTTTGTTTTCTTTTACAGGAAGTAGGATTGAACCATACCTTCCCACTCTCATGGAGCGAATATTGGGGTGTATGAGCAACTCCAGTAGCCCCAAGTTAAAAGAATTATCAATAAGTGCTCTAGGAGCTATTGGTGAGAAACCTTGCATTTTAAAGAAAATCTGTAGTCTTCTATTAATATAAGCTTAGCTTCCTTTTAGAGCTTCATAGATACCCATAAACCTGGAAAAATGACCAGATACCAACCATTTAGCCCTACCCTCTCTCTCATGCCTCCCTATTTCCCTTTACCTGTGATGGGCAGCCTCAATGAACAGTAATGAGCTTTAAAAGGCTATATCTAGGCTTAGGCTACCTAAAGGCACTTGAAAGATGCCCGATGCAGCATTCAGAGACTTTAGTAACTGTTTGAATGCTACAATTTTCTAAAAAAGGAAGTTTACCCCATTAAAATTGCTGAATTTTTCTACAGTGGATAAAAAAACTCTACACACCCCTGTTGAAATGTCAGGTTTCTGTGTTGTAAAAAAAAAAATGAGACAAAAATAAATCTTTTCAGAACTTTTTCCACCTTTTAATGGGACCTATATACTGTACAACTCAATTGAAAAACAAACTGAAATCTTTTAGGAGGGGAAGTAAACCTAAAAACTAAAATAATGTGGTTGCATAAGTGAGCACACCCTCTTATAACAAGGTATGTAGCTGTTTTCAGAATTAAGCAACCACATTCAAAATCATGTTAAATAGAAGTCAATACACACCTGCCATTATTTAACCTCTTGCCGCCTGGCCAATGACCGTTTGGCGGCTGGCAAAATCCCTCAGCGTTCCGGGTGGACACCATATGGTGTCCTCCCGGGCATGCGCAGTTTGCGCGCCTGCAGAGCCGCGCAGCGGCGCAATCTGTCACCGGCTGTATACCTCGGACACGGCCGATGACAGATCTGAGTACCGGCCCCGTTGCCGGTACCATGTGACCAATCACAGCAGGTCACATGACAGTTGTATACAATGGATGGCTTCATTCATGCCATCCATTGTATACTAGTGTGTCTAGCTGTGAATGGTCACAGCGATCACATGCGCAAGCTGGGCCAATCACAGCTCAGCTGTGTCATGTGATTAGCCATAGCCAAATCACAGGTAAGCACAAAAAAGAAAAAACCCTGAATGAATCGATGTCATTCAGGTAAATGCTTGCTTATAGCAAAGTAATTCTTTGCTATAAGCAAATTGTGTAAAAAAAAAAAAAAAAAAAATTTACTGATCACTTCCCCAAAGTAGTACAATGTTACTATGGTAACATTGTACTACTTTGGTCATAGTGAAATATGAAGAATAAATCTTAAAAAAAGAAAACATAGTAATAAAAAATTAAAAATAATAAAATTATTTATATATATATATATATATATATATATATATATATATATATATATATATACACACATGCCAGTTATATGATGACGCTGTACTGCACTGGTGACAGTATGTAAAAAAAAAAAGTAGTGAAAATAATTCTTTAAATTTTTTAATTTTCCGAAAAATGACAAAAAAAATACAACTTCAAAAAACTCACCATGCCTCTTATGAAGTACGTCGGATTGTCTACTTTGCAAAAAGTCATCATTTGGGGGATATCTGTACTGTTCTGACATTCTTGGATCTCAAGAAATTAAATTGGCTGTCAGTACTTCAGGATTGATCAATATTCAGATATATTCCATAGTTTGTGAACTCTATAACTTTAATACAAACTAAAAAATACATCCTAATTTGGGTTTTTTTCACCAAAGACATGTAGCAGAATACATCTCGGCCTAAATTTATGAAGAACAATTATTTAATTGCAAACTTTTATAACAGAAACAAATAAAAAACGTGTGTTTTTTTTCAAAATTTTCGGTCTTTTTTTTGTTAATTTAGCAAAAAATAAAAACCCCAGTGGTGATTAAATACCACCAAAAGAAAGCTCTAGTTGTGTGAAGAAAATGTTAAAATTTTAGTTTAGGTACAATGTTGCATGACCACGCGATTGTAATTCAAAGTGTGAGAGCGCTGAAACCTGAAAAATGGCCTGGGCAGGAAGGGGGTAAAAGTGCCCGGTATGGAAGAGGTTAAAGTGCCTCTGATTAACCCCAAATAAAGTTCAGCTGTTCTAGTAGGTCTTTCCTGACATTTTCTTAGTCGCATCCTACAGCAAAATGGTCTGCAGAGAGAGAGCTTCCAAAGCATCAGAGGGATCTCATTATTAAAAGGTATCAGTCAGGAGAACGGTACAAAATAATTTCCAAGGCATTAGATATACCATGGAACACAGTGAAGACAATCCTCATCAAGTGGAGAAAATATGGCGCAACAATGACATTACCAAGAACTGGACGTTCCTCCAAAATTGATGAAAAGACAAGAAGAAAACTGGTCTGGGAGGCTGCCAAGAGGCTTACAGCAACATTAGAGGAACTGCAGGAATATCTGGCCAGTGCTGGCTGTGTGGTACATGTGACAACAATCTTCCGTATTCTTCATATGTCTGGGCTATGGGGTAGAGTGGCAAGACGGAAGCCTTTTCTTACGAGGAAAAACATGCAAGGCCAGCTAAATTTAGCAAAAAACACATCTGAAGTCTCCCAAAAGCATGTGGGAAAATGTGTTATGGTCTGATAAAAACCAAGGTTGAACTTTTTGGCCATAATTCTAAAAGATATGTTTGGCACAAAAACAAAACTGCACATCACCAAAAGAGCACTATACCCACAGTGAAGCATGGTGGTGGCAGCATCATGCTTTGGGGTTGTTCTTCTTCAGCTGAAACTGGGGCCTTAGTCAAGGTAAACTGTTATGAACAGTTCCAAATACCAGTCAATATTGGCACAAAGCCGTTAGGCTTCTGCTAGCAAGCTGAACATGAAGAGGAACTTCATCTTTTAGCATGACAACAACCCAAAGCATACATCCAAATCAACAAAGGAATGGCTTCACCAGAAGAAGACTAAAGCTTTGGAATGGCCCAATCAGAGCCCAGACCTGAATCTGATGGAAAATCTGTGGGGTGATCCGAAGAGGGCTGTGCACAGGAGATGCCCTCACAATCTGACAGATTTGGAGTGATTTTGCAAGAAAGAGTGGGCAAATATTGCCAAGTTAAGATGTGCCATGCTGATAGACTTATACCCAAAAAGACTGAGTGCTGGAATAAAATCAAAAGGTACTTCAACAAAGTATTAGTTTAAGGGTGTGCACACTTATGCAACCATATTATTTTAGTTTTTCATTTTTTCGTTCCCTCCACCTAAAAGATTTCAGTTTGTTGTTCAACTCAGTTTATCTGTTAAATTAACCCCTTGACGCTGAGCGCACGCAAATATGTGGCCTCTCTGCATCTGGGCCTTGACGCCGAGTGGCCGCATATTTGTGTGCAATTAGAAAATACATGTGCTGAGAGCGCACACCCCCAGCACATATGTCCGTGACTCACGGAAAGGTCCTGATCTACCCTTTTCGATCGGGACCTTTTCCTATCACGTGTCGGCTGATCACGGCGGTCACATGACCCTAAAACCCCGCCCGCCTCCTGGCTTCTGAAACTCTTAAAGGGCTGGGAGGCGCCGGCGCGAAGTGGTTAAAGGTGGAAAAAGTTCTGAAATTACTCATCTTTGTCTTTTTTTTTTTTTTTTTTTTTTTACATCACAGAAACCTGACATTTTAACGGGTGTGTAGATGTTTCTTATATCCACTGTACATATTTGAAAAGGAAAATATTAATGCCTACAGATAAAGATGATATACATAAAATTGGCACAATATTTTCATTTTTATAATCTGTATTACTAAAAATGTAGTTTTGTCATATGGATGAAGTAAGTACACCCCTATGTTTATCACCACTTCAGATCCATTAAATTAGAACTGAGTGTTCCAGATCAGGTGACAATGATCAGAGCCTTCTTAGGAAGTATGCAAGTGGAACTTTCCCATTTACTCAATTCCTGGGCGTCAGAGTGAAAGAAATAATTCTAGCGCCAGACTTCCTTTGTAACTCTAAACTGGTAACCTTTTATAGGCTTTTAAAGCATTGCTTATTGATAATTTAAAGTAACCATAGTTTCTCGCCATTCCACGGGTGTGCCAAATTTTAAAACGTGAGATGTTGGGTATCTGTTTAATTGGCATAACATCTATTTATTATTTTATTAATAAATTTACTGTTACATTGTGTTTGTGTTCACTAAAATCCATTAAAGTCTATTTTGTACAAAAATTTGCAATTAAAAATCCTCTGTGCAAATATCGTGTGACATAAAAATTTTCCAGACCTACCACTTTATTTTTAGGGCCTCCAATTAAAAATAAAAAAAAAAAATATAATGTTTGGGGGTTCGAAGTAATTTCCTAGCAAAAAAAATGCATATTTTTACATGGGAGTGAAATGTCAGAATTGGCCTAGGAGTCAAGTGGTTAAACCGTAGACGTTTAGGATCTGATGTTCCCTTTGCTATTGACGTGTGTGGTGTCAATGTGCCATCAAACTTTCTAAGGCTCACAAAAAGAAAGTTTTAGATACTTTATGAGTTTGGCAAGAGATCGAAAAAGATTACCAAATTATTTCAAAGAGATTTTCATTTTAAAGTCTAAACCCACCTTTTATACCATATTGTATGTTACATCCATATTTGCAGTTGAGCATGCCTCAACCCATACAGCTATGTCATTCATTCATCCATCACAGAGATCTGTGAATTCATAAACCAAGTTCCATCTGCCATCGTAGAAGAGGAACTTGTAGTTATCAGTAGAACACAAGCGCAGTGATTACTGCACGCATAGGGGGGAATTAAATTAAGCTGCTGCGCCACTTTTCTGGCCGTAATCCCTTTTTTTAATGTATTGCACCAAATTCATGAAGCATTTGCAACACTTTCAGTTTTGACAGCGACTTGTGCACAAAATTCAGGTAGTTCTAAAATGTGCCACTGTACATTTTGTTGCATTTAATATACCATTTATACATTGTGTCGCATTGAATGTGTCAAAATCAAAAGTGGTACTAATTAAGACCAACTTTTTTTTTTTTTGGCATAGAGCGAAAAACTGGCACATATTTTTTTGAAAGTGTCTCGATTGCCTTCTTAAAGTGGTGCAGTATGAGCCAAATTCAAGTACAAGTTCTAAATAGGTACATGAATTTGATGCACCACTTTTAGAATACATGAGAGACACTTTTGCAAAATCTGTCTTTGCCAGAGTATACAATTTCAAGGATAGTCTATTGACTTCCCCCAGTTCCGTAACTGAAAGTCGGTACTTCAGTATGGACATGAAGCTGGAGGAAGGGTCTGCACCTTTGAGCCACCATGCTTTGCAGGCTCATATGCAAAAATAATAAATGCACATTGTGTTTCGGCAAATGTGGATGCATTTTTTTTTTTTTTTTTTTTGCAAAAGATGGACTTTGCCTTTAAGAAAAACTATCAACAAGTGATTTCAAACTTCTGATCATTTGTCTAGTACTGACCAACCCAGCAAATTAATCTCAAAAACTGTCTATTTGATGCTAAAAGAATGCTGCAAGAATTTCAGTGCAGGGTTAAAGAGAATGCATCTACATTCAGAAAGACAGTTCACTTATTCAGCCTGGATAGGAGTGGTGTTAAGAAAAAAAAGCCTTGGTACACCGTTCTATATATTGATATTTTTGTTAAATTAATGATTCAAAAGGCAGTTTTTCTTGTGTTCTTATACAAGTATATCACATCTGTATACTCTGTTTAAATGAACATTAATGTTTGCCTGTTCAATCATGTTGAAAAAAGTCAGCAATTTCCATGAGGTGTACCTTATTTTTCACATAACTGTGTAAGTACAGCACGATTATTTGTTTTAACTTTGAGTCAGTAGCCCAGAATAAGCAAGTTGCTAGGAAAGTCAGAATTCTTGACTTGTGCCTGGTCAGTGAACCAGAAAATATAAAATTCAAGGCAACTAGGATTTTTGGAAAGGAAAGTCAACAATACATGCCACCTCTGCAGCTAAATGGCATACATGACTGAAATACATATTCCCTCTTAGATTGTAAGCTCCCAGAATCAGGCCCTCCTAACCCTCTTGTATTGAACTGTATTGTTGCTGTATTGTCTCCCTTTATATTGTAAAGCGCTGAACAAGCTGTTGGCGCTATATAAATCCTGTATAATAATAATACATATAAGGTCCTTTATTTGTTCTCCTAAACACTTTCTAGCTTCCCATACCTGAAAACATGCATGTTTGGCAGCATAGGGATTACCAATCGAATATGAGTTGATTATTTCATACAGCCTAATCTCCCATTCTTCAGACTCATTCAAACGTGTTTCTGCATTCTGAAACGTGAATTTTGCCATCAGGAAAAGCTTCAACACTTCCACAGGAATTGTTTGCTTCTGTGGAGCCTAATTACATTATAGAAGTTACATAGTCTGGCTGAAAAAAGACAAAAGTCCATCCAGTTCAACTATAGAAAAAAAAAGTTATAATCCTATACCCACAGTTGATCCAGAGGAAGGCAAAAAACCCCCAACAAAGCATGATCCAATTTGCACCTGCTGGGAAAAAAATTCCTTCCTGATCCACCGAGAGGCAATCGGTTTTTCCCTGGATCAACTTTACCTATAAATGTTAGTATCCAGTTATATTCTGTGTATCTAGGAAAGAATCCAGGCCTTTTTTGAAGCAATCCACTGAACTGGCCAGAACCAACTCTTGAGGGAGTCTATTCCACATTTTCACAGCTCTCACCGTGAAGAAACCTACATTATCCTAATAAATAGTACTGTTTTCTGCATTGTTTGCAAATGAAATGGACCCATTGATATGAATGATAACACGCAAAATGCAGATTTTTTAATTTATAGAAAATCATGAAAGTGGAACTAAACTCATTGCATCAGCATTTTTTATTTTATCACTCTCCTTTTCTTCTTGCACAAATTGTAAAAAAAATATATATTCTAACTTTTACTTTTCAAAAGTTTTCTGTGCTGCATGACAGCGCTTTCTGGTTCCTGACCTAGGCCAGGCACCGCTGTTTCCTGGGATTGCCACTTCACAGCTATCCCAAGAGAATAAGCCGCAACTGTGCGGTACATCTGCACAAATGCTAGTGGTCAGTATAGTGGCAATCTGCCAGAAACTGCCAGCATTTGTGTGCATGTGTGGAAATCCACTGCACATGCGCAGATGCACCACCAGTCTCTGTCAGGTTCTAGATACCTAGATGACACCGACGGTACATATGCACACGCGCAGAGTTTGTTAAATGGTGGCATGGAAGAGGAGCAGGGGGGCCATTCATTCAGTGGTTTAGTTCCTCTTTAATTGCATTCCCTCACTGCTATGTTGCTCTTCCAGGGTCTTTTCAAATTACCCAGTGCATTCTTGTATGGTGGATCCTATGTAATCTCCTTGCAGGATGCAGTGCTCAAGCCTAAGCGGCCGTCACCAGGCACTGAACACTGTCACATAAGAAGGATATCGCCAATGCTGTGAAGGTTTGCTATCATCCAGCAAGGGGTTTACACAGGTTTGGGCTCCAAAAGAGGAATGCAGCAGTGAGTGAGTTTAAGTGGGTCAGCCTTAAAGAGCCCAAATCTCTTAAAACACAGTTTATCATTTTTGTCCGATAAGTGTTTCTTGTTAGGTTTTGATGTAACAGCTGTGGTATGTAGTTGCCTGTCTCTGTACTCCTTTCTAGTATACTCCATGTTATAATAATGTTACCGATACACACTTTATTCAGTCTATCATATTTTTATGACTTGCTCCTCCTTAGCCAGTGGTGCAGAAGAATTGCTAAGGCCATATTTCTCACCTGTAATGGAAGTACTGAAAGTCCATTTAATGCAGACAGGAGAAGAGGGGAGACCTGTACAGCTTCAATGTTTGGGTAAGAGTAAAAAAGAGATAAGAATTATTTTGTATAGTAAATTCATTGCTTCCATTGTGATTGTTTCTGTGTTTTTCTTTTCCTCAGAAACCCTTGCTGTCCTGGTCTACTCACTGGGGAAGGAATCTTTCTTACCTTTGGCTGAAGATTGTTGTCTCCTAGGACTCAATTTGTGTGACAGAATTGATGATCCAAGTACGAGAAGTTGTGCGTAAGTATCGGGATACCATTTTTAGCCAAGGGTTTTAACCTCTTCCCGTCTGCCCATTGTACAGAAATTACGGATGGGAAGCAGTGCCGATACATGTGACGTTCCCGTATGTCAGCCTGCATCAATGGCTCGTGTGTGGCTCACAGAGTGCGCACCCCGGAGCCCTGTGATCAGTGTGATCACATTACTGCTGTGTTTGGGTGATCACGTGATGTTTTACCATGTGACTGCTGTGACCAATCACAACAGTCACATAGTAAACATTGAAACTGAAAGTAAAGATCTCTGCTCTTAGAGTGAGAGCAGAGAGAAGCAATCCTGCAGTGTGTGAGTGTACAGCAGCCTGTCAGGCTGCTTCTACACTCACACACTGCAGTGCCAGCCACCCCAGCTCCCCAATTTTAGTGCCCCATGTGTCCTTAAACACGGCCCCACAATGCCCATAATAAATAATGCAGGGAGACCCTGTCCCAGTGCACACAAAACACCCCCATACACCATACCAATGTCCTAATCACTGCCATACCCCAAACCAACACCCTGATCAATGCTATATGCCATACTTTCTCCCTGATCACTGCCATACACCATACCAGCACCCTGATCACCGCCATACACACCATACCAGCACCCTGATCACCGCTATACACCATACCAGCACCCTGATCACCGCTGTACACCATACCAGCACCCTGATCATCGCCATACCCATACCAGTGCCTTGATCACTGCCATACCCCATACCAGCATCCTGATCACCGTCATACCTCATACCAGCGTCCTGATCACCGGCACACCCCGTACCGCGTCGTGATCACCGGCACACCCCGTACCGGTGTCCTGATCACCGGCACACCCCGTACCGGTGTCCTGATCACCGGCACACCCCCCCGTACCGGTGTCCGGATCACCGGCACACCCCGTACCGGTGGATCCGGATCACCGGCACACCCCGTACCGGTGTCCGGATCACCGGCACACCCCGTACCGGTGTCCGGATCACCGGCACACCCCCGTACCTGCGTTTTGATCACCGCCACACCCCGTACCTGCGTTTTGATCAGAGCCATACCCCATACCAGCATCCTGATCACCTCTCTACCCCACAACAGTGTCCTGGCTACTGCCATACCAGCGTCCTGATCATCACCATACCTCATGCTAATGTCCTGACCTCCACCATACTCCATACAAGTGTCCTGATCACTGCCATATGTCATACCAGCGTCTAGCATGTAAGGATCTCAACTAATCAATTTTCAAATATATATCCCATAGTTTGCAGACTCTATAGCTTTCACACATACTACATAATATAAACTGTTTTGGGTTATTTTTACCCCAGAAATGTAGCAGAATACATTTTGGCCTAAATATATGAAGAAAAATTATATATTTGCAAAATTTTATAACAAAAACTAAGCAAAAAATTATTTCTTTTAAAAATGTTCAGAATTTTTTCATTTATATAGCAAAAAATAAACCCAGTGCTGATCAAATACCACCAAAAGAAAGCTCTGTCTCAAAAAAAGGTTACAAATTTCATATGGGTAGTGTTGAGTAATTGTCACTCAAAGTGTGATAGTGCTGAAAGGTGAAAATTGGCCTGAACTGGAAGGGGGTGAAAGTGTAAGGACTTGAAGTGATTAAATAAAATGTCTTATGAAAGACATGTATGTATTCCATGTTTAACAATTAGGTCGAGTGGAACTCCACTTTTATCAAAAAATAAAAGTCAGCAGCTACAAAATTGTAAAAAACAGCCACTTACCTGTCCCTCGGTCCCGTGGTGTGTACCCCGCAGCTCGTTTCAACAGCCATTCTGTATTCCAGGAGGCCGGCATCTTCACTGTGGGCACCCGGCTGTGATAGCCTGCGGCTTCACAGCTGGGGGTACCCACTGCGCATGTGCGAGTAGCGCTGCGCTTCATGAATGGGCGTGTAGTTTTCTGGGACCTGTCACGTGTCCCAAAAGACTACAGGGAGGGAGGACACCTTCCGTTTACGATCGCCTAGGCGATCGGACTGGAAGTGGGAGCGGATACCTGGCCAATTCCCCCCCCCCCCTTTCACTCCCCAAAGGTGCCAATCCTTAATGGGGATCGGGGGAGCAGTCCTTTAAAGCGGAACTTCCCCTTTTTGGTGGAGCGCCGCTTTAAGTAATATGTTTTCAATGGAACAGAAAGTGATGGCTGGTCTTTCCACTGGTAGCAGAGACAGCAGTAAAAAGCTTTACATTTACTAACTAAAACGGGAAGGATTAGAACTTTTTCATTGCAGTGGTGAGATTCATCCTCCTTGGTGTTGGTGATATTTATCATTGACACAGAAGATGAGGCAAAATCCCAGTGTTGATGGTTGTCACTAGTGCAAAGAGTGAATGGAAACCTTGCAGTAGGGATTTCCCTAAGTTTGGAAGATGTGCTTTCACTTCCTGAACTGGTAAAGGGCACCTTTGGACTTGATGTTGGTGCCCTTAGTTCTTATTGTTTACAGTGTACATGCTTGGACCCATATGGGAGTATCTGCAACATCAGTATAATATGTGCTCATCTACTGGTTTTTTCATTAAGCAGCCTACCTTTTGTGTTGGAAAAGATCTTGTTCTGGGTCAAAGGACACTTGCTACTTTACCCAGTGCCAGTGATCTTCAACGTAACAAAATGTACCTGTTGATATGGAATCCCCATATGTTTTGACAGGGTAAGACACATGTACTATCTACAAGTGTTAGTGCTATCCAGAACAAACTAGTAAATGCTTTGAAACGAGTACCATTGCCAATTACTCAAGCATGCAACACTGTACCCAAATGAATGTTATTCTCTTATTTTTAGAAATATAAAGTTTCTTTATCGTACATCATGGGACGCAGAACAGACTATTTCGTGACTGTGGGTTACATGCCACCTATAGGTGATTGGGCACTGGCAGATCAAACAGGAAGGCATCCCCTAAATAACCCCTCATACAGAGGAAGTACTTCAGTTTTTTTGCCAGTTGTCTGTAAGGTGGATGGTCACTTGTGCTGCATGTGCTCTCATGCATACTTGGAGATGTGGAATGGTTCTGCTGATAATCCCAGACTTCAGTAGGATCCATTTGAAAAGCTGTTAGCCAAAATGGAAGGTAACCGAGCTTCTTTGGATAGGAGAGAAGAATCCTCGAGGTTTGCCTGTAATGCAGTCTTATGGTGCTGGACGCTGCATATTGGAACCCTATGCGATTTGCATTAAAGAATCGGCATTTTTTGTTTTGGGGCTCCACTCTTTGGGCTAGCCAAAGCCCCAAGTATTCACAAAGCTCCTAGCCCCGGTGCTGAACTTGCTGAGGACACGGGGTATCCGTTTTAGAATACCTTAATGTTTCTTTGCTCAGGGAGCAGTCACTTCCACATTTAAAGAGAAATATCAGAAGCAAACGGTATCCTTTAATGTCTCTGCATGTGGAAATGGTATCTACGTTGAAGCGGTTTCCTATGTGTGGTTCCACTCCAGGTCTTTTGTAGAGGAACATTCTGTCTGTCTGGATCATGAAGGACCAAGCATTGGATTGCCAGAGGGCTTTGTCCCTGGGGTATTGCAGAGTCCGAATTGGTGGCTGTTTGTTCAGAATCTAGAGAAGGGGTAATTTTCCTTCCAGTGATATGGAAGATGGTAACCACCGATTCCAGTCTCTCCAATTGGGGGGCTGGTTTGAAGGTGGCTATAGTTCAGGGGACTTGGTCCCCAAAGGAGAGAATACTGCCCATCAGTATCTTGGAACTTAGGGCAGTACGCCTTGCTCTGGATTATTGGACAAGCCAGTTGCACAGCTTTGTGGTCAGGTTTTAGCCTGACAATGCCACGGCAGTGGCGTATATCAACCGCCAGGGCAGCACCGGTTCAGTAAAAGATGAACCACAATCTGTCTGGGGCAGAACAGCAAGTGCTGTCTCTGTCAGCAGTACTTATTCCAGGTATGGAAAACTGTCATGGTTTTTTCCCTAGAGGTCAGCGGCAATCTGCCAGTGTTGGAGAACTCTGGATGTGGATCTACTGACTTCCAGGTTCTACAACAAGTTAGACAGGTTGTGTCCAGGACAAGAGTCCAATTGGCAATAGATGCACTGGTAACTTCTTAGGGACCAGTTCCCCCTAATCTATGTCTTCCCCCGATCCAACTATTGTCTTTTGTGCAGGATCCGGGAGGAAGTAACAGAGATAACAGTGGTAGCCCGGCCTAGCCCAGGAGGGATTAGTACACCAACATAGTGTATAGTGCAGGGGACGCTTCTTGGACACTTCCGGTCCACCCAGACCTATTGTCTTGGGTCCAGTAATGTATCCTGCGATCACTAGAATTGAAGGCTTGGCTATTGAAACTTGGGTCTGAAAAAAAATCAGGGGGGGGTTATTTGGTCCTGTATTTCTCTGCACTATTGAGTGCCAGGAAGTCGGTTTCAGGGAGTTTCCATTACAGGACCTGGAAATCCTATTTGCCTAGTGTGAACCCAGGAAGTGGCACCCGCAGAAATGTGTGATTGAAAGGTTTTTGTCCTTTTTCCAATCGGGAGGAGAAATGAAATTGAAATTAAAGTGGTTGTAATGGCTCAAGGTTTTTTACCTTCATGAATCCTATGCATGAAGGTGAAAAACTTTCTGTGTGTAGTAGTGCTCCCCAGCCCCCTCAATACTTACCTGAGCCTCATTGCGATCCAGCGATAGGAACGGCCATCTCGGCTGTCTCGGGTCTCTGCCTCCTCATTGGCTGAGACAGCAAATGGGAGCCATTGGCTCTCACTGCTGTCAGTCACAGCCAGTCAGCCAATGAGGAGAGAGAGAGGTGGGACCAAGCCACAGCTCCATGTGTGCATGGACACACGGAGCAGCGGGTGCCCCCATAGCAAGCCGCTTGCTGTGGGGCACCCGACAGGAGGGAGGGGCTAGGAGAGCATGCGGGGCACCCAAGAGGAGGAGGATCCAGGCTGCTCTGTGCAAAATCACTGCACACAGCAGGTAGGTATCGCATGTTTGTTATTTTCCAAAGAAAAAAAAAAACTTTTAGAATCGCTTTAAGTACCACTAAGGGTCAGATTTTGGCGCTCTCCATTTTTTCCCCCAGAGACCGTCGTTTCTCACTCCTTGATTCTTACTTCATGCAGGGCGCAATGCGGACGGTCCCGTCTTGTCAGACCGCCCTTCTGTCTTTGGGACTTGAGCTTGGTCTTGGCCGTCTTTGCAGAAGCCAGCTTTCAAACAATTAAAGAAACTTAATCCTTTGACTCAGAAGATGGTGTCACAGATCAAAACTGCACACCCACGGTGACTTGTTAACTGATACGTGGTCCCTCCGTGACTTGGGGTAAAGAGGGAATGAGGGAGACTTACTTTGAGCATACAAGACTGGCCGTGATACACTTTCACAGCCCACACTGCCTCTGGCCACCACTAGAGGGAGACTCCACTTCAATCCAGCTGGCTGACCAAACACATGCAGATGCAAATCTTATATACAATCTGGTGCACTCTAAGGGTTGGAGAGCAGTCTAGCAATTGGCACATCCTTCTAGGATTCCTCCAGCTATCCTACAAGCTAGAACCCCGGTGTTAATCACTATTCCACTGTCTACACACCCCCACACACCAGACACACAACAATCGGTAGCTTGCCACCACCCAACAGTTAGTCCGCAGACTGGTCTGTTGGGCCAACACACACACACACACACACACACACACTTAGACCGAGCGTATAGATAATACAATACAATCTCTCTGGAAATATGAGCCCAAGCTTAAGCACCCAGAAGTCACTTATTCATTTTATGATTTAATATCCCGAAAGTGGGCAGTGCATAAAATATGTACAAAGTATAAAGAGTTACAGAAAATACAAAGAGACACACAATTGGCTATTCACTATAAAATAAAAGGGAATGAAAACTGAAATAAAACTTTTGCCAAGATTTATCATGTGACTGGAGCAAGTCAAAGTCCGCGATTTGCCAGTCATATGGAACTGGCTCCGTACGAATCACCCCGTCTATATCTCGGGGTCCTCAATTTATTGAAATATGGATGTGGGCTGGACATTATCCCTTGGCCAATCAACTCTGGGGGGTGTTCCTGTACCAGCCCACAGGACGTTCTGGGTTCTGAAATGCCCAAAGTCGATTGGACCAGGAACGGTTTGTATTATCAAGTCAGGGATAGAATTTCCAACAGTAGCGCGTCAGTCCAATTGCGACAGTACCAATCACTGTTCAGCTGTCGCAATCAGGTGCCATATAACCGTTTTGTGCATTTCTCTGGGATTCTACAGAGGCTACAAATACAGTTTTACAGTAGATGTAGCCTACAGTGTGTCCAATCAGAAGGCATTATTTTCATCTCTCCACAACTAATATTTTAGCTTTTATGAGAGATGAAATAGATTCCTCTGATCTGTGGATATAAATCAGAGCTGGCAGACCTTTCGGAGCCCGCTCCTTGTCCCCTGCGGCTTCCCGAAGCCGAAATGGCTAGAGCTCTTCTTTTAGATTTCAAGAAGGTGGCAAAGTCTGGCTACATAACTGACAACATTTTATTGGCAACTAGGTGTCCCCTCTAGCCTAGAAGCTGCTCTCTCCTTTCAGATGCTAATTGGTGAACATATGTATCTAACTGAATACTGAACACTTCTCTTTAATAACACTAGATCTACAATTACATATTTTTACTGATCACATCACATCCCCACTATTGATAAAATGATTCTACTCTTACATTTATGTCACAGGTGGCTTCTTTGATTACTATCACTTTGGCAAGAAGAGTGTCAGCTGGTGGCTCTGAAATGTAGGGAGCTGTTTTTGTTCCTGCATCATAAGGGGATGTTGTGCCCTCATCCATCTTCTTGTCTAGAGTGGTTTCTAGTTTGAATCAGGACAGTGTCTTGCCTTTTTTTTTTTTTTTTTTTCCTAGTCCACAGTCGGCAGGGTAAAGATAGCTGCATACCTTGAATGTATTTCAGATAGTCAAGATTTACTTGAGTTTGGTGGCTCAGGTCAGGAATCCTAGTTTGTGATGCCAGAAGGGCCCAGGCTGGGCAGGTGGCATCCAGGTCAACTATTTCTCAGGGTTTTACCAGGTCAGTACCGTGGAAGATTGTCTTTGGCCTGCAGATTGTCTTGTACAGCTGAGTTGGACTTTGGGATTGATAGTGGTGGTTATTATGGTGTCACCATAATGCTTTAGGACATCCCACATAGTCATGAATGACCTGCTCTGTGTCCTGTGAGGTACAATAAACAAAAATTTAATTTTTTTCTACATACATACCAGTAAAATCCATTTCTTGGAGTACATCATGGGACATAGAGTTCCCTCCTCTCTTTCTGGAATTTCATTACTTGCCACAAAAACTGAGTGTATGCCATGCATAAAAATAATTACTTTACAGCAGTGGTCATCACTGTTCTAAACAATCATCGTGTTTATAAAACAAAATCCTGATCACCTCCCAAGAGTAGTACAAAGTCACTGAAAACCATTCATTGTGTATTATTATTATTATTAATATAATTTTTTTTTTTTTTTACATACTGTTACCAGTCCGTAACCCTGATCTCATCACACCAGTCCTATGATGATGCTGTACCGCTCTGGTGACTGTATGTGAAGAAAAAAAATTAAATTCAATTAGTCACAGTGATCACATGGCACCAGGGCCACAAGCTGTCATTCACCGTGTCCACCAGACACACCAGGTAACGAATCAAGCCCCAACACGGCCTGTAGAGCTCACAGGAGGTGCTTACCAGGAGGACATCATATGACGTCCTCCCAGGATTAGAAAAACCTGATCACCTCCCAAGAGTACTACAGTGTCACTATGGTAACACTGCACTGTATGCATACAAAATTTAAAATGTTAAAAAAAGTAACAAAAACGTTTTAAACAATTGTCATTTGGGAGGGTATCTATAATTTTCGCACAGACTAAATTTATACACTGATTTGGGTTATCTTTACCAAAGAAATGTAGCAGAATACATTTTGGCCTAAATTTATGAAGAAAGATTTATTATTTATTTGCAAAATTTTATAACAGAAACATAGAAAAATTAGGTTTTTTTTTCAATAATTTCAGGGTTTCTTTGTATATGTAGCAAAAAAAACCAAAACTCAGTGGTTATTAAATACCACGAAATTAAATCTTTGTCTTATAAAAATGCTAAAATTTTCTTTTGGGTACTGTGTGTTGCATGCCTGAGTAATTGCCATTCAAAGTTTGACAGCACTGAAATCTGACAATTGGCCTTGGCATGAAAGGGGTGAAAGTGTCCGGTATTGAAGTGGTTAAATAAGTCGCTTGAAATGGAGCAGTTCCTTTTCTCTGAGCCATCAGCATAACCTACAATACACTTCACAGCACGTTAAAAAAGACTCTTTCAAGCATGGGATCCATCTAAAATTATTACATACTATTATAATCCTACTGTAGCTTAAAAACAATAACTTGTTGGGAATGGGGGGAGACTCTTGTGTGAAGTTTCTGTGCCTCTTACAGTTCTATACAGATAGAAGTAGTGACAGAAGCGTAGGCAGGACAGAACGCACATGGAGAATGATAAACACACAAAGCTTTATTGAACTATGGAAGGCACTCAATGAGGGTAGGAAGGTAGCGTCTGGGTACCCAAAAAAGGGGGGGAAGAGGGGGGAGGAGTTCAAACAGTTATAATCCGGCCCACGCTAGGGCGATTCGGGTAACGATGGCCCGAGCACTTGGGGGGCAGTCCAGGTAGCTACGATGCTCCAGACACGCAATAGGAAGTCCGAGCAATTATTAATTACGGCCCACAATAGGGGCATTTCAGGCAGCAATAATCTGGGCACTCAATGGGGCAGTTCAGGTAAGGGTAATCTGGGCACATAATAGGGGCAGTTCAGGTAAGGGTAATCTGGGCACACAATAGGGGCAGTTCAGGCAAGGGTAATCTGGGCACACAATAGGGGCAGTTCAGGCAAGGGTAATCGCCAAAGATGTAACGCTGTCTATTCCCACTGACATCAGGATGTTTTCTACTCCCAGTGGCCACAGTTCGGCCTCCCTAAAGTCTGAAGGCCAGTAAACTGGCCCTTTATTTAGAAAGTTTGGAGACCCCTGCTCTAAACTGTCTCTTGTTGCAATGATTTTGCTATCTCTCGCCTGTCTCTTCATGAAGTTTGAATTCTTTTAAAGACTCTGATGAAAGCTCCAAATGCTTCTTTATTTTTTGTCCTAAACCTTAAGTAACATGCATATGGAAACTTTGTGACCTACTTTTTTTTTTTTTTTAATCTGTATTCTACAGCTACCACTTGTTTGGAGCTATCTCAGAAGTTATGGAAGATAATATTTCTCATCACCTTGAGAAAATGACAACCATGATGATCCTGTCCCTAAAATCAAGAGAAGGAATAGTGGTAAGTAGTATTTTACACTTGCTAAGAAAAGAGATTTACACCCAACTGCAGTAAAATGTATTCGATTTTAACAAGGGATTTAATAACTTTACCATATAATATACAGTTAGGTTCATATATATTTGGACACAGGCACAATTTTTGATTTTTTTTCAGGTATTCACTAAAACATATTCAAGCTATTGTTTTATAATGGATATGGGCTGAAAGTGCACATTCTCAGGTTTAATTTGAGAGTATGTACATCCAAATTGGAGGAAGGGTTTAGCAATTACAGCTCTTAAGAGTAGCCACCCCCCCCTTTTTCAAAGGACCACAAGTAATTGGACAATTGAATCAGACGCTGTTTCATTTCCAGGTGTGGGCTACTTCTTCGTTATTTCTTCATCAATTAAGCAGGTAAAAGGTCTGAGTGGCCAAATCAACAGTTTGGTACATTCTGAGGAAAGAAGAACGTACTGGTGAGCTCAGCAACATAAAAAGGCATGGACGTCTATGGAAGACAACAGTGGGGGATGATTACAGGATCCTCCGCTATGGTAAAGAAAAACCCATTCACAGCATCGAGACAAGTGAAGGACATTCTCCAGGATGTGGGTGTATCATTGTCAAAGCCTACAATCAAGAGAAGACTTCACGAGAGCAAATACAGAGGGTTCGCCACAAGGTGCAAACCATTCATAAGCCTGAAGAATATAAAAGCCAGATTAGACTTTGCCAAAAAGCATCTTAAAAAAGCCGGACCAGTTCTGGAAAAGCATTCTTTGGACGGATGAAACTAAGATTAATCTGTACCAGAATGACGGGAAGAAAAAAGTGTGGAGAAGGCTTGGAACAGCTCATTATTCAAAGCATACAACGTCATCTGTAAAACATGGTGGCGGCAGTGTGATGACATGGGCATGCATGGCTTCCAGTGGCACTGGGACATTGGTGTTTATTGATAATGTGACAGAAGACAGAAGCAGCCAAATTAATTCTGCAGTGTTTAGAGATATACTGGCAGCTCAGATTCAGCCAAGTTCAGCAAAGTTGTTTGGACGGCGCTTCACAGTACAGATGGACAATGATCCAAAACACACTGCAAAAGCAACCCAGGAGCTTTGGAAGGAAAAGAAGTGGAATATTCTGCAATGTCCGAGCCAATCACCTGATCTCAACCCAATTGAGCGTGCATTTCACTTGCAGAAGCAAGAAACAAACAACAACTGAAGACCGCTGCAGTTAAAGCCTGGCAAAGCATCAAAAAGGAGGAAACCCAGTGCTTGGTAATGTCCATGGGTTCCAGACTTCAGGCAGTCATTGTCAGTAAAGGATTATCAACAAAATATTAAAAATTAACATTTTATTTATGATTATATTCAATTTTTCAATTACTTTTGGTCCCTTGAAAAAGGGGGGTTGGCTGCTCTTAAGAGTTGTAATTCCTAAACTCTTCCTCCAATTTGGATGTACATACCCTCAAATTAAACCTGACAATGTGCACTTTCAGCCCATATCCATTATATAACTATAGCTAGGATATGTTTTGGTAAATACATGGAAAAACAACTAAAACTGTGCCTGTGTCCAAATATATATGAACCTAACTGTATTATTAAAGTTGGTTGCCTTTTGATTTGTTTTCTTGTTTTTTTGCATATTAAATTACATATATTTATCACATAGTCTCACTTAAAGTAGAACTCCGGCCACTAATTCAAAGATAAAATAACTAATGGGAAAAGGATTTAAACCAGACGTTCACAGATGAGTAAAAAAAATTATATCTTCCATCTCAAGTAGAATCCAGGAATCTGGTCATAAATTGTTAACCAGGTGATCTAAGGTCCCCATGAATCTTCACAAGATGTTTCCCACAGCTCTCTGCATATGCTAAAGGTGTGAAAATGGGTTACCCTTCTCCACATTTTCTGTTCTTGTCCTTTTTGGAGAGATGCATGTTCATTACTTATTCAATTACTAAATTCATCCCAGCTAAATGGAAGAACAGTAATCCCCCCACACTAGGTCAGTGGGTTATGTCTGTTGATGGAAAGGTTGATGGATGATTTTACCCTCTCCGTCAGAGACTGAGGACAAATTCAAAAAGGCATAGTTCTACTAGAAATTCAATTCAGGTTTTCTCAGAATATAAGGAAGCTATAGCAGGTCAAGTCTGTGAAAGTGGGACAAATGGAACACCTGCTCAATGGTTTTTCTTTTTCTCTTATTCTGCTCCTCCCTCACTTGCTACACCCACCTGCACCCTCCCCCCCCCCCCCCCCCCCCCTTTGGTCAGATATGCTGTTCATCATAGTCTTGAAATTAAATTTAAATATATTGATATATACTGTATATTTATTATAATACTATAGGGTTTAGGGATTGAATGCAAATGAACTAACAAAGTGCCTGCTTTTCTTGTCTGCCTGTGATTAAGTAGATTCGTAACACGGGTTCACTTTAAATATAACTGACGACAAAAACAGGCAAAAAAGGGGTTATAGATAGATGCTATGAAGGTGAATTTGAGTTTTAAAGAGCCTGTGTGTTAGTTGTTCAGTGTGGGACCATCTACTAGCCACAGAGGCTTTCGCATTGGACTATTGAATGGCAGAGGTAGGTATTGGCTTCAGTGTAGGCAGGGCAAGTTAAGGTTACTGCAAACTTTTAAACCAAGGGCTCTACAGGCCTGCATAAACCTAAGGCAAACCATAGATGAAACCATTTTCTTTCCTTCCATTACAAGTGAAAGGAAAGATAAATCACTTGATTCCCCTATCAACACAGTTGATATTAATGGAGCGCCTCCCTGCTGAGCTATTGTGTCTGTGCTGGAAAGGGTAGGAAGCGTGCACATGGAGCTTTCCTGGCTGGCAGAACACAATAATTACTGCTAGCGGCTAAAGCTACAGACCGTAATCAATTAAATATGCAACAGGCTGGTTGCATCTAAGTCGATTGATGGATTAGCTTGAGTACAATCAGCCTGCCTATAGATGGATCTGCTGGTCCTTGCTGAACCAGACAAGATTCGGTCAATCTATGGCTGGATAAACTGAGAGTTTCAAAAACTACAAGGCTGCTGCATTTTGATATCTCAGGTTTGATCATCTTTGCTAACAGGTTCATTTTAGATGTCATTGCTTACAGCTTCTTTGTATCTGCCTGCTTTTGTGTCTTTTGTTCAGAGGAAAAAAGTGGCAGGAATCAAGTCGCCAGTGAATATTACTCATTGAAAGTGAACATACACTCTGGAATTATACCAGGGTCATGAGAATACAAAAAATAAAATGTTTTGCGATTCTGGGTGCGCCTGACCTTTGCAATTTTAGAAAGGAGATTCTCAGCCTTTACTGTGAAATCTTTTTCTTATGCAGACTTTTGAACCAAAAACGCTCCATACAGGAGATTGGACACTTACAACATTTCTCCTTTCTTATTAGCTGCAGTTGGACTATGGAGAGCAGCAATCAGTATTAGACTTCAAGAGAAGTAAAAAAAAAAAAAAAAAGTAATCGAGAAACCATCTCAACACGAATAGAAGCCCAGTGCATCAGTGCCTCTACTCTCCCTCATTAAGGCTAGGTTGACACTACATATGGATGCAGGACTGTGTTTAATCGCACGCTTTCCCACACCCACATCAAACATGAGCTGCTGTTATCACGGTCGTGGGGTGCCAATAATTCTTAATGGCACCCCTGTGCACTGGAAGCTGCGCTGCGGTTTCCCAGTGGCTGTGATTTTGGAAGAGGTGCAGGACCTACATTCCCTGCATTTTCCCTAGGTACAGCAGCCCATTCAAATGACTAAGCTGCTCTGCCCACGTAAATGTGGCCACTGGGAAACCGACATAATGTGAACCTAGCATGACTCAAGATGAGAAAACTTTAACATCAATGGGCCAATTTATAGCAGAGATCAGTATCTGCTAACCACTGGACAGTGCAGTCTATACTTCACACAGCAGCCTGCATTTAAGTGCTATTTATAAAATGCAAGCCACAGAGTGGAGTCTGTGATGTTCCATGGAATGATATTCCACTTGCTTAGGAGTCCTGAAGCAAGTGGAACATAATTTACATTTCTTTCTGACCCATTAAGGGAAACAAGAATTTGTTAACCTTTGGGTAAGAATTGGATACTGGCAAACAAAATAACTGTAGGCCAACCTGTGATAACCCCTCTCACTACCAGCTTTTTCAGTTTTATAGCAAAGCAGTCTTAATAGCATGGTCAGTTGCAGGGTTGGGACCTTTTTATATTTTTTCTCTTTGAAGAGACAAAACTCTGGAGAAGTAGAGCACAGTCTTGTCCAATTACGGCTCTCCAGGGCAATCATCTTCATGCTGGCTTTTGGAGTACTGTGGACTGGACAGGATATTGCTGGGATATCCAAGAAGTGACCTCCAGGTGCTGGGTCCCTCCATAGGGTGCTTTCAGGGCTCGTTCTGAAAAAAGTAAGCTGCCCAATGCTTTCCAGGTCCAGAGCCACTGGCATGTGCTTGCTCTGTCTCTAAAGATTCATTTAGTGAGTGGACAAATCAGGTCCTGCATCGGGAGCTACCTCAATTACTTTGGTTACTGGGTACGTTTATTCCCTGTTCCATCACCTGCTGGATGGAGTGTCTTGACCATTCGTGTAGCTCTCTTTCCTGCCATCAGACATTCTGGAAGCATCTCCCTGCTGCTTCAGCTAGCAAAGAACAATGTGAAACGTTGATGCTTGATCTGTTCCTGCTGTCTTCCTTCAGTGACCTTGGTTACTGGCACTGGCCATCCAACCCTCATCTATTGCCTGCTGTCTGAGTTTCTTGAGTACCTGAGGCCTTGCCTTTTACCCTGATTTTATAGGTTGACTTACTGCTGTGCAGTTGCAACATGTCTGAGTCCAGACAGAGGTGGGGGACACAGTCCCACTGTATCAGATGTGCCCATGAAAAACTTTCTGACCCAAATCACACAGGTATTTGCTAATTTTGATCACAGAGGCCACAAGCCCTCTCCTGCAGATTCTAAATTTGATTTGCCCATGGCCTTAGCTGCCTTCAAGCCATTGCCCATATAAACTCTGATTTTTGAGTCATTCCATTCTGGATCAGCCTTTTGCTTCTGCCTTTGCTGTATCCAGTCTTGGGTCGTTTAAAAACTCCTAATTCTGCAAAGCCCTTTCCTTTGCACCTTCCTTTTCAGCTATTTCTCTTTGGAGATTAGAAACATCCTGGTCATCAGTTTGATTCTCCCAAATGTCTTGTATCTGTTTGGGTAGGAATTTGTGCATAAATGGTCTATTCCCACTGTGGATCTGGCGCTGACTTGGCTTATCAGAGTCCTTACTATTCCTATGGAGCCTACACCTCTTTAAGTACTCAACCAATAAGTGGTTGAAAGCACTTTCTGAAGCTCTGTTGTTTGTGGGTTCTGCCTTTATCTAATCCTAGCTGTGACCTTACTTTGTCAAATAATGGCTGACTGGTTCAAATCAATTAGAAGAGATCTAGTTGCTGAGGATGATCCCTTGCTTATAGGACACATGGATCAGACTGCTGTACTGTTAAAAGTTCAGCAATGACAGTTTGCTGGAAGCCTGATGGCTTATTTCTCATATGTGTCTCATGTCAGGCTAAAGGTCTGGACTTTTATGTAAAAAAAACTTTTAATCCACGTGGGCTTCAAAGGGCAGCATCTCTTTTGGACCATCTTCAGACCCACTTCCTCACTGGAAAGAAACCTAAGGAAAAGACTGCAAAATCTTTTCCTTCTCAGTTAAGAAACAGTCTTCTCATTTCTTTGCTCCTTTTACTTTTATATCAAGACCTCTCAACCAAGACTCCCTGTACACCTGTAATTCCAAGTGGCTGTGAAGGCTGAAGGTATTTTACCTTCATGCATTCTATGCATGAAGGTAAAAAACCTTTTCTGTGCAGTTCCTCGCTCAGCACTCTACAATGCTTACCTGAGCTGCATCTCAATCCAGCGATGTGCACAAGAGCAGAAGCCTTCTTGGGTCTCTCCCTCCTTATTGGCTCAGACACAGCAGCGGGAGCCATTGGCTCCTGCTTCTATCAATCACAGCTAGTGAGGAGGGTGAAGGTTGTGCTCTGTGTGTGGAGACCCGAGATAAGGAAGATCAGGGCTGCTGTGCAACACCATTGCACTGAGTAGGGTTAATATGACATATTTGTGAAAAAAAAAAAAAAATCTGGACCTTTTTAGTATCACTTTGAAGTCTGCCAAATCTTCAGACAAGCCTTCCTCTGCATTAACATTCGCTTCTACTTTCCAAAATTATGGGAAGTTTGTTAACTTTTGTGGACACTTGGACAGCTTGCATCTCAAAAAAATGGAGCACCTAAATGAAGCCCATGCACAAACAAATAGAACATTCAGGTAGTTGCATAAACACAAGGATGATTTGTGTGGCTGGGCAAATGCAAGCTGCTTTAAGTCTATTTTTTAGGGTCAGAAGCCAGGGAAATTTAGGCCCCAGTGACTAGGTGAAAGTAACTTAGAGAGGGGCACTGAAGATGATTTCTGTCTAACAAAGGTAAAATCAGACCCTATGTATTTGTGCCTAAAATTGATAACATGGAGTACAAGATCACTTTAAATATATTTCTTAATATACCGGTTCCAAGTCTTACACCTTGAACCCATAGTTCACCAACACAAAACTTAGCTTTAGATGCCAAAACTGGAATTTCAGCTATCAAAAATGTTTTCTTTTTTTCAGTCATGTCATTATGCTTACAGTGGAATGACTTTATTTCTTGCTTTCTTTTTTTTCCCTTGATAAAAGCTGCATTACAATGAGAATCACTCATTCATGTTGTTTGATGACGAGGCTGATGAAGAAGATGCTATAATTCAAGACGAAGAGGAAGAAGAAGATCCTGATGTTGAGGGGTAATGTAAAACCATGTATCTTGTACAGTAATACCTCGGTTTACAAATGCCTCGGTTAACGTAATTTTCAGTTTACGAATGAAAATCTCTTGAAATTTATGCCTCAGTTTACAAATTTCTTTCGCAATATAAAGTGTATGTCAGTGCTGATTTTTAAATGCAATTGTCGTCTTTCCCCGGAGTTAACGGAAACTTTGTTTCTTTTAAGAAACTAAAAGGAAACATTTTTTTTCTTAACTTGGGAAAATAAACTAAAAGAAAACTTTCTTTTAGCTGGGGGGAAAGTGACAGCTGAATTTCTGAGCTGTAGTGAAGAAAATAAAAAGCAGTAATTACATTTAAAACCCGGCACCATAATAAATAATAAAAACGGTGTGGGTCCCCCCTCCCATCCATACCAAGCCCTTCGAGTCTGGTATGGATTTTGAGGGGAACTCCCACGCCAAAATCTAAAAAAAAAAAATAGCATGGGGGTGTGACGGAAGCGCAGGCGGGACAGAACGCACATGGAGGATGATAAAACACACAAACTTTTATTGAAATAGGAGAGACACTCAATCAGGGTAACAAGGATAGCACCCGGGTACCCAAAAGGGGGGGGGAGGAGAGGGAGGAGTCCAAACAGTGATAATCTGGCCCTCGGTAGGGCGATTCAGGTAGTGATAATCCAAGCACTCGGGGTGCAGTCCAGGTAGCTACAATAATCTGGGCACACAATTGGGGCAGTCCAGGCAAGGGAAATATTGGCGGACAATGGGGCAGTCCAGGCAAGGGAAATATGGGCAGACAATTGGGCAGTCCAGGCAAGGTAAATATGGGCGTACAATGGGGCAGTCCAGGCAGGGGTGATATGGGCACACGTTAAGGCAGTCCGGGCAAGGGGCACACAATAAGGACAGTTCCACACTCTGCCACATGCGGCTGGTAGGGGCACTCACGGTAGGTAGTTTCCAGGGGCAACCAGCGGACCATGTGCAGGAACACTCATGATTTCAGGGACGGCAGCAGCCACTAGACAGGGACCCTCACGGCGGTCAGCTTTCCAGGGACAACCAGCGATCAGCAGACAGGGACCCTCATGGTACTCAGCCTTCCAGGGACAACAGCGATCAGCAGACAGGGACCCTCACGGTACTCCGCCTTCCAGGGACAACAGCGATCAGCAGACAGGGACCCTCACGGTACTCAGCCTTCCAGTGACAACCAGCGATCAGCAGGCAGGGACTCTCACGGTACTCAGTGTCACGATTGCAAGATCGCCGCTACCAACATGCGACAATCCCACGACCGGGATGTCTAATATGTCACGATCGTGGCATCAGACCCCAGACCTTCTCACCAAACTTGTGACCGAAGGACTAGCCAATCTAAAACCACGATGTGACGTGCGTAACAATGCCACGCCCAGCTGCACCCTGCACAACGATTTTCCAGCTAACAGACCACAATCGATGTCCCGGCAGCCTGGGCGACTGGGTCGGGTTAATTACGCAACTAACCCTCCACACTGCCACCACCTCCTTTTCGTACAGAGAAGGAGGAAACTCGCGTTATCAGTTATAACACTATAATGATTGAAATAATCGTCTGTATAAAACGGTCCGCAAGCCGGTTATACAGAGGTTTAAACAAACCGTAGCGTCTCTTTAGAGGCAGGAATTCGTGAGTTGCAATACAGAGCTATAGAAACAGTTCAACACTTTCAGAAAGAAAGATTTATTACTAAAAGGTCAAACAGGAGCAATAAAAATATTTACAGAACAAAGATGTAACAAAATTATATATATATACATATACAAAGAACCGTAGCACAGCAAAGAGATAACAGAGAGGTGAAAGGGTTAAAGTATTTGCCAAAGTCCTGGGTTAGCAGATCCAAGTTTCAGAGCAGAAGGGTGCTTTGATCTCCCTATGTTACGATGGAAACATGGGAGAATGCTTCAACTCAACTCCTCTTAGGCCGGACAGCCTGTTTTAAAGTCTCCAGCAGGGGGTGTCTCTGATGCCACGGACCAATACCTCGTGTGGGCATGGATGTCTGGGTGTTGACCTAAACTAGAGCCAAAATCTTGTGTAGTTCATATTTGGGCTCATAACGTTTCCTATGCACAAGTGACATCCCACCCGCGGGTAGATTATTAAGCAGACAAATTTGAGGATTGATTAGATATGAATTATGAAAGTGTAGGCTAAACGGTTCACGAGATCTATTTTCTGATTTCCTGTGTATGCGAGACAAGTCGAGTGACCTATCAAACTGTTCGGCTCCTCCTAGCCAATCTGATGGTGTGTCTGGTTTTTATGTAAGTCTCTCATATTCCAAGATATGAGACATAGGGGAAAAATGGAAAAATGGATGTTGAGGAGTGTTATCTGATTCTGTCACCTTCGCTGAGTTAGGCTCATTAGGTCAGAATCCCTTTCAACTCCAGAGAGAGCTGGCCTTATCTCTTCTGTTTGCGACACTCAGGCTTCCAGGGACAACCAGCGATCAGCAGACAGGGACCCTCACGGTACTCAGCGTTCCAGGTACAACAGCGGTCAGCAGACAGGAACAGCTTTCCAGGGACAACCAGCGATCAGCAGACAGGGACACAAACGGGACTCAGCTTTCCAAGGACAACAGCGATCAGCAGACAGGGATCGCTTTCCAGGGACGAACAGCGATCAGCAGACAGGGACCCTCACGGTACTCAGCTTTCCAGGGACTACAGCAGTCAGCAGACAGGAACAGCTTTCCAGGGACACAGCGGCTTACAGGGACTCGGCAGGGCTTGGCTGTGGGGTCTGGCCTCAGCTCAGACCTCGCACAGCACCCTGTCCCGAGCGGGGGACGAACTCCCTACCCGGGTCCTGCTCCGGTCTTTTATCGCCGGAGCAGGACGCTTCCGGGTTGCAACAGCCAGCCCGGCGTCGGGTTTCCGGGGTAATAAGCCCGCCCCCTCACTCCGGCCACGCACAGGGAGCGCGGCCTTTGTCTCCGGCAGGTGCAGAGCGCGGGAAACTCGGGTCCGCGCTGTGCCCGCCGAGACAGGGGGAGATGTGCACTCAGAGACACTCAGGTGGCCAGCACATGGAAAATCCATGTGCAGGCACAGCGGGGTGTCAGACACTTCAGTGTCCAGCCCAGGAGAGGTGTGAACCGCACTGCAGGGGGCAGATCTCTGACATCCAGCACAGCCTTTGATGTAGGCTTGTGCCGGACATAGGGACCTGTAAGGGGAAGGGAGGGGGGAAGATGGAGAGCGAGGGGGAGACCGTGACAGAGGGTCCCCCCCCAAATCAATACTAGACCCTTATTAGAGCATGCAGCCTGGAAGGCCAGGAACCATGCCACATGCCCTCAACATTGCTTTGGAGCATCTTGTCCCCATGTTGATGGGGATAAGGGCCTCTTCCCCACAACCCTGGCCGGTGGTTGTGGGGGTCTGCGGGCAGGGAGCTTATCGGAATCTGGAAGCCCCCTTTAATGAGGGGGCCCCCAGATCCCTTCCCCACCTATGTGAATGAGTATGGGGTACATGGTACCCCTACTCATTCACAAAAAACAAGTGTAGTGTGAAAAAAGATAGGACACGGTCTTTTACGAGTCCTTTAGTAAAAGAAAAAACTAAAAGAATGTCCCCCCGCAGTAGATCCAATGTCAATCACAATGCCCGCTGCTGACCCGAAAAAAGAAATTTAAAAAAGGCTCTGCTCCAGACGATGGCTTCCAGCCTTCTGCCTGCTTTGGTGGTTTGACAGTTCTTAAATATGTAAGGGGCGGGGCCACCCGGAAACATCACCCGAGTGACCCCACCCCATGTGATATCATTCATGTCACATGGGGTGGGATCACATGCCTGATGTCCCCGCGTGGCCCCGCTCTTTACATATGTAAGACAGGGTGCTATTGTGTTTTCAGCAGTATTGGCACTTATTTTTAATGTTTTACATAGCTATACCTGCTAAAGGAGCCAGCCTGAAGTGATCTAGCAGGACTTAATTTTCTGACTGAAGTTCCACTTTAACCAGTGTGCTCTGTGTGTTCTTATATGAGGCCAGACTGGAAGTAAAAAAGTAAAGCAGTGCTAGCATATAAAACGTCAACATATTTGTGTTTTGTGTGTGTGTGTGTGTATATATGTGTATATATGTGTGTGTGTGTATATATATATATATATATATATATATATATATATATATATATATATATATATATATATATATATATATATATATATATAATAAAATTTTACCAGTTCATTTTTTGGAGCTCGTGCAAAATATTTATAAGGCTTTACAGGATGTGCTGTTTGATTGTATGGGTGATGCACCAGTACTGCAGAATCCAATAAAAGCAATCCACAGAGTTCTTCAATCACAATGAAAAGTAGCATTCTTATTTAGTATAAACAATTGACAATGCACAGATAAATTCCTCATCCCAAAGGGGCTATGTTTCAAGCCCAGAGTATACACGATAGTGACCCAAAGCCCTGTATATAAAAACCATTCACAATTCAGGTTCCGGCAGAGCAACTGAGCTGATGGGGAACTTTGAGAGCTTGTTCATGCTTCCTGCATGGTCAAACGCTGTGTTATACCATGTAGGAAGTGTCGGGTGTAGAAATACAGGCAGAATCAGAGCTGTAGGTGGAGGCTGTGTCTAAGTGTGAACAGGAAATCTAGAAAACAATTGTTTTCTGTGTGCCCTTGTGGAGATCTGTATTTTTCTCTGCATAAATGTGAGTGAGCCTGAAAGCTTTACTGCTACCCAAAATGCAACATCAGAGTGGGTAAAGAAGCTGCAGCACGAAGGCATCACCACATAGTTCTCTCCTCTTGGACTCTATTATAATGCTCTTTCACTCAGTTTGGCACACACACTGCATATTTTAAAATACATAGTGAACTCTGCAGTCTTATTGCTGTACATTCATGGTGGTCTATCATTTAGATTCTTTAGATCAAGACCAATTATCTTAAGCTACAATTGTTGGAAAATCCATTCCTTGCTT